GTTTTCGCCGGCGCTGCGACTAGCAGCCTCACGCGCTTGCGAGCGGGTGAGTACTGGAGACATTTTCGGAAACCCGAAAGCGGCGAATTCTTGCCTGAGATCCCCTCGCAGTGGGCTCCAGAAATGATACGATCTACGAAACCCTAACCCCTAACCTGGGTACGACCTAGGTGGACTAGAGGCGGGTTATTATCTTAGTGAGAGGGGAGTTAGCAGCAAGGTGTCCCGCGGTTCGAGTAAACACGAGAAACACCCTCGGAAAAGGCTATGAACGCTAGGGAAGGTACGAGGTGGCTCGATACGTCGTCGAAGCTACTCGGAGGCTGTGGGTGGTTAGTGGAGACGATTGAAGCTCGGCAGAGCTCTTCGATGTATCGTAGAGGGAAGGGACACAATTCGATGGGGTGGACTTAGCTAGGACGCGGTTCGCAGTTTCTTCGATAATAGTCGAAGTTGAAGGGTTCGTCGAGACGGTATCGACGAGTAAATGCAGTGGGCGAGGTTTCGAAGTTACGCAGTGAGGGACGAAGTGACGCAGTTGAAGGCTTAGACGCAGGGCGAACTCGACTTATGAGCTCTGAACTCGAGGGGGGAACCGGATCTTGTATTTTTGGAGAGAAGTACGACAGATTTTATACTACGCATAGGACGCTATGACTATCGAGAGTGGCACACTAGTACAAGGGGCTTTGCATTGTCCCGCACGAAGCTGCCTCACTGAGTGGCACATATCAAGTTCATCGGTAGAGTGACGTCATGCCGAACGCGGAGATGAAGAGAAACATGCGAGACACTTCGGACCGGTGTCCGTCGTTGAAGGCATGCCGCGAGGTTCGATACCTAATCGGGAAAGACCGGCTATGTTGGTGTGGCATGGAGCGTTGCACGCGCTTGGCCGAGCGGCGTCAAGTGGCCCTATTGTTCGCCAAATGCGGGAGATGTCCCGAGATCTACGCGCGAGGCATCGGGACGACCGTGCCGAGCTTCGAACAAGCATTGCGCACCGTCGAAGATGTCGAAGAGCGTTGAAGGCAAAATCGAACTGTTGGGTGACTGAGTCGAAGTGCCGGGTGGGATGCGACTGCCGAAAAGAGGTGTATTGGGGCCCAGAGGGGCTTGGCGCCTATCACCGAGTCCGCAGATTCTGCTTGGCCTCGCTGACAGTGCTTGCCCCCGCGTCAGCAGTCCCTGATGTACGTGACTCCTCCTCCGGGCTTCCTCCAGCGCCTTCACCGCCATCGCCGCTGCGAGGCCACTTGCGCACTCGTTCCCCTAGAAGTCCGACCAGCGGAGGGCCACCACAGCCACCTCTGCCCCCGCGCCGTCCTCCATCCCCCCCGCTGCCGATAATGTCCTCTCCCTCGACCGCCCCCGACAAGGAGACCCTGAAACTCCTCCTCCCCCTCCGCTATGATGGCAAAACCGTCATCGAGTGTGACAGGTTCCTGTCGCAGCTGCGTATCTACTGGCTGGTCAACACATCACTGACCACCATCGAGCTCAAAGTGCAGGTTGCACTAAGCCTGCTCGATGGAGACACCCACGCCTGGGCCACTCCCTACTTTTCCCAGCTCGCATCGGTGCAGATGGGTGTACAGGGGGTCACGACCCCTTTCAGGAACAAAGCAGCCTTTACTGCCGCCTTCAAGGCCCGCTTCGGCAATCTCAACAATGAAGCAGTGGCACAAGTAGAGTTAGCGAAGCTCTGCGCGGACAAGTCGGTCCGTGAAAAACGCACTGCGGCGGAGTTCTCCGCGCTGTTCAAGGGTCCAGCGGACCGTTCCGGGTATGGGGACCTGGAACTACGCAACAAGTACCTGAGCAGCATCCCCTCCCGAGTCTACCGAAAGATCGAGCTCGAGACCTTCACCACGTGGCAAGAAGCTGAAAAGCGCGCCACTGAGGTCGAGCAGATCCTCGACATCAGCCGGGCCCGGCGGCCCGAGGTCAAGGATGTGGTGGGGCACGTGGTGGTGCGCCTCGATCACTAGGCGCTTCGGCCAGCATCAATGCGGCCATCGGAAAAGGAGACTTCCCCGGCAGTTGCTTCGGCTGCAGGAAGCAAGGGTACCGACACTTTGAGTGCCCCAACTGTAAGGACAAGCCTTACACAAAACGCGCCGACACGTGGGCTATGGTTGCCTTGGGCTCCACCCAGGTAGCGACAAGCGCTCCTGCCCCTTCACCCTCGGCAAGTATAAGTGCCGCTTCAGCGAAATCCGAGCAATCGGAGCTGGCGGACTTAATGGCACAGGTGAAGTTGATGCGCGAGGAGCTCGAGCACTATCGGGTGATGAAAGAGGAGGGTTTTTGATACGGTCCGCACTTCGTGCCGCACGCGTCGGGCCGGGTATATCCTATAATAAGTATAACGTATTGTTGACTGCAATGGTGTACGAATTGGACCAGGGGTCCCAACACTTTCACATTCCAGTTCAACTTCAAGGAAAAAGATGGCACAAAGACATAATTGCTATGGTGGACAGCGGATCCACCACAAAGTTTATCAACAAGCGATTCATTGTAGAGAATAAGGTGCAGACGCGGAGGCTGAAGGAGCCCATTCCGCTCTATAATATCGATGGCACCCTAAACAAGAACGGAAGCATCTTGGAAGTAGCTGTGCTACAGATGCAGATAGGAGAACACGTCGAGAAGACAGTGTTTACGGTCACGGACATTGGTCCGGAGGATGTGATCATCGGGTTGGATTGGCTACGTGAGCACAACCCCGAAATCAATTGGGAGGAAGGATCCCTAAAGTTATCCCGATGCCCTGAAGCGTGTAGTGCCAGGAGGACTGGCCGGATGGAGCAAGCAGCGACTGTGCGTGATACGGGGGTCAGGCCCACGGCGCGCAGGCGTTCACCAAAGTCCAAACGGTCGGTCATAGGTGCCTGCCGAAGTAAGGTACTCCCGGACTTCGAACCCGAAGAAGATCCGGCGGAGGTTGAGTGGGATGAAGCCGACTTGATCGAGGCCTGGGAGCAAGGTATTATGCTTCCTGGCGCTCCTCAGCTGTTCAACGCGGCCGGGCATATGTACTCCCAGCTGTTTGCTGAGGAAGAGATCAAAAAGAAGGTTGTTAAGACCGCCGAGGAGTCGGTGCCTAAACAGTACCACGAGTTTCTGAAGGTCTTCTCGAAGGAAGCATCAGAACGGCTACCTGACAGGAAGCCGTACGATCATGCAATCGAACTTGTGCCCGGTTACTCAACATTCCACTCAAAGGTGTACCCGCTATCAAACAATGAGCAAGAAGAGCTGGACAAATTCCTAAAGGAGCAGCTGGCGAAAGGCTACATACGGGAATCGAAGTCGCCCATTTCGTCCCCCTTCATCTTCATCAAAAAGAAGGAAGGGACACTTCGACCTGTGCAAGACTACCGCCGGTTGAACACGATCACGGTCAAAAATTGCTACCCCTTGCCGCTGATTGCCGAGATGGTAGATAAGCTCCGCGGCGCCACACTCTTTACGAAGTTTGATGTCCGTTGGGGATACAACAACGTCTGGATCAAAGCCGGTGACGAGTGGAAGGCGGCCTTCGTGACCAATCGAGGGTTGTACGAGCCCCTGGTGATGTTCTTCGGTCTTACCAACTCCCCCGCGACCTTCCAGGCGATGATGAATGACATCTTCCATGATCTCATCATTGGCGGGAAGGTCCTCGTGTACCTGGATGACATACTCATCTTCTCCATCAATCGAGAGGAGCATGATAAGGTCACGCACGAGGTCCTTCGACGCCTTCAGGATAACGATCTATTCCTGAAGCCTGAGAAGTGCGAGTGGAACGTTCCCAAGGTCGACTATGTCGGCTATGTGTTCGGTGGCAATGAGGTAGCGATGAATCCTGCGAAGTTGAAAGGAATTAATGAGTGGCCGGTACCCTGGAACAAAAAAGACGTTCAGAAGTTCCGGGGGTTCTCCAACTTTTACCACCGCTTCATTAAAGACTTTGCCAAGATCTCACGACCACTCGACCGGCTCACAGGAAATGACCCATGGCATTGGGGCGAAGAGGAGCAACATGCCTTCGATGAGCTCAAACGGCTCTTCGCCACGACTCCGGTCCTAGCGCTGTACGATCCTAATCGAGAAATGCGCATCGAGGTTGGCGCCTCGGGCTACACCACTGGCGGCGTGTTGATGCAGAAGCAGGATGACGGCAAATGGCACCCAGTAGCCTTCCGGTCCCATGTGATGGATCCGGCGCAGCGGAACTATGAGATCTATGATAAGGAAATGCTTGCGATCATTGAGGCACTAGATTACTGGTGCCACTATCTCGAGGGATTGCCCAATCAGTTCGAGATCGTCACCGATCACAAGAACCTCGAGTACTGGCGCACGTTCCAACATCTCACGCGTCGCCAAGCATGCTGGTCGCTATTCCTGGCTCGCTTTGACTTCTGCATCACACACAAGGCCGGAATGTCGAATGGAAAGGCTGATGCCCTGTCACGTCGATCAGACCATCAGATCGGCGATGAGGACGATAACACCAATCAGGTGGTTCTCAGACCTGAAAGGTTCCGCATCGCCTCCGCCAGGCGCGGTCATGCCTCAGTGACAGCTGATCAGTCGCTTCTGAAGCGCATCAGGGAGTGCTCGGAGAAAGATCAGGAGGTGGCTGAGGCACTTGAAAAGGTGCAGAACCTCGGACCTCCCCGGCTGCAAAAGGGCTTTGAGGAGTGGAATGCCGAACAAGAACTTCTGTTGTTCCATGGGTGCGTATACGTCCCAAAGAACACGGAGCTCCGGTGGGATATTGTCAAGATCCACCACGACTCGCTGATCGCCGGACATGGTGGTCGTGCCAAAACCCTTGAGCTCGTGTCGCGGAACTACTGGTGGCCTGGGATGTCTAAATTTGTCAATGAGTACGTAAGCACCTGCAATGTGTGCAACCATACCAAGACATTCCCAGCCAAGCCCCAGGGTCCGCTGAAGCCGAACAAGATCCCCGAGCGCCTGTGGCAGATCATCACGACCGATATGATTGTTGGCTTGCCAAAGTCTGACGGATTCGACTCGATCCTGGTTACCGCCAACCGCTTTACCAAGCAGGTCCACTTCTCGGCCTGTCATGAGACCCTGACAGCAGAAGGTGCGGCAGATCTGTACATCCGCGACATGTTCAAGCACCATGGGGCCCCAGCCAAGGTCATATCAGACTGAGGTCCCCAGTTCGCTTCGAAGTATCTTCATACGGTGTACAAGGGACTGGGGATCGAGCCGGCACTGTCTACAGCATTCCACCCTCAGACAGACAGCCAGACTGAGCGCTGGAATCAGGAGATCGAGCAGTACCTGCGTGCTTTCACGAGCCACAGGCAGGATGATTGGGCGAGACAGTTGCCGCTCGTGGAGTTTGTACTAAACAACCGAGTCCACTCCGCGACCAGGCACTCCCCTTTCTTCCTGCATCAGGGGTACCATCCTGAGATCCACGTGTGGATCAATCCAATGTCAGCGATGCCTGCGGCCGCTGATCAGCTCAAGATCCTGAAGGAGATCCGGGATGACACGCGCTCTGCACTTGAGCTGTCAGCCAAGCGTATGAAGGTGTACTACAATAAGCACGTGCAGGAGGCACCGGTCTTTGCGCTGGGGGACAAGGTCTGGCTTGATGCCTGGAACTGTAAGGATTTACATGCATGCGCCGGTCTCACATCATAACCTCTACACCAAAAGGGTGCAATGTCAAGCTTGGCTTGACATCTGACCAGAGGTATATATGCTGATCATATGCCAACTCATGACATTATCCCCCTCCCAGGGCACATGACCTCATGTGGATCCATATAATACCCTGACCCCAAGGGTTACCAACTCTGGCTTAACCTTGATGATCTTCTGAGAGTTCAGGAGGACCCCATGTAGTCCAGTCACCTGACCATCTGGACCTCAGACACCAGCTCCCTTCACTGCCAAGCAATCACAAATCACATGTGACCTCTAGTGAATTTGCTTGAAATGTCCGCTCACATGGGGAGTTGAACCCTCAACCACTTGAAGCTTGACATTTTGTAAGGATTTACATGCATGCACCGGTCTCACATCATAACCTCTACACCAAAAGGGTGCAATGTCAAGCTTGGCTTGACATCTGACCAGAGGTATATATGCTGATCATATGCCAACTCATGACAGGAACCTTAAGCTGAAACAGCCGAGCAAGAAGCTCAGTCCCAAGCACCTCGGACCTTATGCCGTGCAGTGAAAGCTCAGAGACCTGGATTATGAATTAGTCCTGCCAAAGTTGGTGCCGGTGCACCCGGTATTCCATGTCTCCTTGCTTAGCAAGTACACACGTAGCGATATCCCAGGCCGGGAGCCAGAGAAACTGCCTGTGATCGAGGTTGAGGGTGACGAGGAGTACGAGGTTGAGCGGATCAAAGATTCGAGGATCTTCCGGCGTCAGCTGCAGTACCTCGTCAAATGGAAGGGTTATGACGACTCGCATACGTCATGGGAACCGGCGCGCAACGTCGCGAATGCGCCGGCCCTCATAGCCGACTTCCACCGGAAGAATCCAAACGCCCCTTGTCGCCTCAATGCGGCTACCTTTGGTGGTCTCAACTTTCAGCCAATGCCTTCACCACTGACTAAAGCACGCTGCCGCTCCGGGTGGGAGATGGGCAAGGGCACCTCGCATGAGGTCATGCGCCGTTGAGGGGGGGGTAATGTCACAAGTTGGTACGGTGTCTAGCCATTTTTTAATTTTTTCCTTTCCACGGGCTCGAACCTGCGACCTCTGTACTACACGCTCAAACGGACAAGTTGTTATCTACTGTATGATTAGATTAGATGGGGTGGCAGTGCACGGCACAGCTCAGGCTCCACTGACACAGCCACTCTGACTCACCGGCCCCCGGGGCCACGTCAGCATGCTGCGCATGGACCAGCTGCGCACGGACCAATGCGCACAGCCTGCCCTTATCTTCCCCTGTATATAAGCCGGCCTCTGCTGCCCTAGGGACCTCAGTTTCGACCTCTTGTCCCTAGGTCAGTAAGCTCCTTTGTATCCTTTACTTACCTTCACTAACTAACACATTTCTTGTCCCTAGCCTTAGGTTTGAGCGTTGCTCACCATCGCTTCGGTGAGAACCAGTCAAACGCCCCCAGCTTTCTTAGGTCTTCCCCTGTCGCTTGACCTCAAGTCGTGACACTGCCAGAACAACCATTGCCCACCAGCCATGTCTTTAAGGATGAATCAGGCTAGTGTACCAGAACACACAAAGCTGTAATATAACAGATCAGATGTTTGATTGTCAAGAAATACAATGAGTGTCTCTGGATCTCGCTCATCACATGTTTGCAGAACACCTTAAGAACAGTCTGCAGGCTGTCATTTCACTTCACCTTCATTTCCTCTCAATTGCTCTTGCACATGGCGTATACTAAGTGCCTACTAGCATCTACTGTTGGAACTTGAGATTGTGGCGAGCGCATGCCACCGTATTTGGCATTGTTTGTAGTACCTCGCAGACTTTGCGCGAGCCGTCCTGTATGTTCCTTACGCGTTTGACAGAGCTCAGACAAACGCGATATATCTTCGTTGATCGTTCTCGCTTCGGGTCTCGGACGAACTTTAACATCTACAACAATCAAAATTAAATTTTCATGGTGTGCAGTAGAGATCACGCAGTTCTGCAAAATTGATGGGTTTTGCAAAACCCCGTATCTGATAGTATGTCTTTACGACTGCGGCTCTCACAGAAGGTACGCTTTATTCAATAATTCAACGTGGTCCTGAACCTATTTGAGGACTTTCGCGACACTGTCCCAATCACTCTGCGGCGACGAGCAAGTACCGCTGGAGACTTTGATGAGAGATCATCAACTCGTTATCGGGCCTGATGACGAGTCATCTTAGACCGCAGTGCGGGCGCGTAGTAGCCGAGGACATGCGCGCAGCTCGGCGCTAACTCGACATTGAAAACCACATACAGTGGTGAACACGTCTGTCTATCGTTCTCCCCCTCCTCTTCGCACTATACCTTCGAGCTGTCTCCTCCCCGTCATGATCGTTGAGAAGCGTATTGCATTGCCTGACGATGACACCCCCACCGACGCTCCTCCCGCGTACTCCGACGCGCTTGGTGCACCGCCTGCCACCCTCATCCCCCCCAGCGAGAAAAGCGAGGGCGGCCTGACTTTGCCGCTCTCTCTAGACACATTCGTGCCGTTCCAAAGCCACAAGGAGAGGCCGCAATCATGGCGCTGGTTCTCGTTCGGGCTGCGCTCGCGCGTGGCTAAGCAGGTCCGAGTGACGGTGCTGGGGATCCTGCGCGACCTAGTGAAGCAGCCGGACATCAGCAGCTCGGCGAGCGCAATCCTCGAGAGCTGCGCCGACGCCTGCCGCATGAACAACTTGTCCATATCGACGCTCCTCCAGGAGCCGTCCGTGGAGGGGCACACGCCCCTCTACTGGGCCATCATCAAACGCGCCCCTGGCTCCCCTGTGGAGCCCGAGGATCCCTCGTCGCCCGATCTCCTTGAATCGTTCCTGTCGATCGCTACGCCGTTCACGGAGACCACTATATCGGACATCCGCCTCGCATGCTTGAACAACGCCGACCACGCTCTGTATCAGCGGCTGCGGCGGTCCCCGGCCTTCTCCCCGCTGTCTGGCGCGGAAGAGGTGCTCCTCGGTGGGGTGCGGCCTGTGGACGAGATCAACGTGCTGAACGTCGAGGAAGATGACTGTGCCTTCGTCGTTGACTTCCGCATACCGCTCTTCCAGAAGCGGCTGCGGGTCTCAAAGCAACTCAATCTCGAATTCATCGCCAAAGGTACTTGTTTCCTCCTGCTCCTTTCTGCTCAGGATCTGACTTCGCCTGCAGATCGACTGTGGTCGCTCAAGTTCCTCATCGCGGCCGCGGAGAACAGCAACATCAGACCGATCGCGGAGACGGGGACTTGGCTGGTGACACTAGCATTGCTGGAGCATAGCGCGCCCACCGCCGTCGACTCGAACCTGATCATCAAGGATGCGACGATTCCTGCCAGTCCATCCCCCTCTTCTCCCTCTGTCCTCTCGCGACAAACCAAAGGCAAGCCTACGATCACCCTTCGCATGAAGACGGGAACGACTCACCTGGCGCCCGACCACCGCGACAACGTCATCTCTACATCATTCAAAGATAGCCTCATGGCCGAGAGCCTGCAGTACAAGTAAGCATTTGAGATTGTCGACGGCTGCGCGATCGAGCGCTGATCTACTGCGGTAGCGCAAGCCCATATGTCGCTGCGGATGGTTCGTTGACCGCGAGGCTCGAGGCTCGTTTAGGAAGACCCGATGGGGAATGCATCATCTGCTGACCTCTCGTAAAGCTGCGCTTGCTACTTCATCTCGTTGAGTCATTCATTCTATTTTTGTTGTGCAACACTGTTTGGGTCTCTCGCTGTCCTCTTGTTCATGTCTTTCTCGCATCCTATTTTTTTCGGTGATGTTCGCCTTTCGCTATTGTATACCATTGCGGCAATCGTTGTACCATTAAGACGCGGAATCGGACTGGAATATGTGGCTCTCATGGGTGTATATTCGTAAATTATTGTTGTACAGATAGTTGCACTGGGACTCTGGCTGTGTTCATGAAAATTGACGTTCTCTACCCGTACTGCGTGCCTATCAGCTGAGTGCGCATTGCAAATCCTGGAATCAATACCACGGGGTGTCCTTTCACCATTCTCGCCACCGAGGACGAGTATCAGATTTTATCAACTCAGACATATGGTCGAATTTACACTCATCCGCAGCCTCAATCGCGGTGAACTGACACGGTCGTGGGACGACAAGCCCGCTGCGGTGCCTTCATGCGACGTTAATACCCAGAAGGTAATGGCTGTACTGTGTTCTGGACGTCATTAGTACAGGCACCGAGGATTCGGATAGTACTTGATAGCATGATGCGATCACCGTCCTGCTCGCTTCACTGGCTGTGACCACGCTGTCGGGCCCGTGGTCGGCACGAAGAACATGACAGACGGAACAGCCACCATGGAACGCGATGTAAGTCCGCATAAGAGCAGCCTCCATGTCTGGCTGGCGGTGAAGGTGTCCTCTCTCTTCCCCACGTTGAAACCGCCCTACCAATGATTATATTCGACAAGGCTGCGTCCCCTGGTAGTCTTCGTAGGCGGGCTCCTGGCAGTCCCCGGACGCTAACGTTAGAGGAATTGCCTCCTGCATACGAATCACTCGACAATACCTTGTCTTCATTCGCAGACAGTGAACCTATAAGTCCAAACCGGGCGTCCACCTGGGGCCAACCGTCGACTTCCCGTCGACCCTCGCTTGCATTAGGGCTCTCAAGACTACAGAAGGTCTTGCCAAACATCCCAAGTCCAACCTCACCTAGCACACCTTCATCCACTCCGGTAGTACGGTCCCAGTCGGTCCCAGATGTCCCCTCACAGCTCGTCCCCGATCCCCAACAGCCTCATCCTCCTGTTGCAGGCCCATCCAGGGTCTCAATACCAGAACGGAATGTCGTCAACGGCGCCGTGAAGGGTTCGCCTACGCCAGACCTATACTCTCCGCCGGTGGACGGAGCTGCGCGCCAGTCCATTGCAGACTCAATGCTCCATCCTGATACCACCTCAAAGAAGTTCTCGTTTACCATCCCCTCCCCCAGGCCTCGCCCTACCATAAAGCTACGACGTTGCCGGAGCTCCGTCACTCCGACAGAGCCGCCGAAACCACAGACTGTAGCTCAAGTAAACGCCCTCGTCTTAGAGCTCCTTCGGGACCTTGTCAAGCAGTCAGAGGCCGACAGCTACACCACCTCACTGGTCTCTGGCTGCTCAGAAGCGTGTCGCTCATACGGAATCCCCTTCTCCTCACTCCTCCAGGAGCCCTCGCTAGAGGGCCATAGCCCGCTCTACTGGGCGATCATCCGGCGGGACTCGCATGCCACCCCGTCTAGCGCCGACGTCGTCACCTCCCTCTTCTCCCCCATCTCATCCCTGAGCGATGCGACGATATCCGAGATCCGCCTCGCCTGCCTGCACAACTCGGACCAGCTTCTCTACCAGCAGCTCCGGCGCTGGTCCGCGTTCAACCCCGTCTCGGGCATGGAGGAGATGCTCATGGGCGGGTCGGTCCCGCACGACGAGATCGTGGTGGAGAACGCGCCGGACGACGAGCGTGCGTTCATGGTGCGCTTCCGCGTGCCGATGTTCCAGAAGCGCCTCCGCATCTCAAAACACATCGCGCTGGAGTTCATCGCCCGAGGTGCACTTCCCCGCCGCTTTTCCACCCGTATGTTCCGCATGGACTGACTGACCCGCTGCAGGCCGCCTGTGGTCCGTCAGGCTCCTCATCGCGTCGGCGGAGAACACGACCTTGCGCCCGAAGGCGAAGCTCGGGACGTGCGTCGTCACGCTGTCGCTGCTCGAGCATAGCCCGCCCACGCTGCTCGACTCGCGCTTCGTGATCCAGGAAGTGCACCGTTCGGCCTCCCGCACGTCCTCCCGAGACGCCGCAGGCCCGTCGCGCGCGAAGAAAGGCCAGAACGCACCGCCCAACTCGGTGCGCCTGAAGACAGGCTCGACCAAGCTGACACCGGAGAACAAAAAGAACTTCCTGTCGGCATCTTTCAAGGACCGCGTGATTGCCGAAAACCTGCAGAATCAGTAAGAGTCTCTGTAGTGATTCGTGCCGGAATGCAGCACTTACCGGGCAATCTTGGGATACAGTGAGAGCTCCTTTGTCGATGCCGACGGTACGCTCGAAGCCAGATTGGAGGCGCGCCTCGGTAAACCCGAGGCAGATTGTGTCATTTGCTGAATCTATTCCGGGGACATGTATTCTGCATGAGTATGATTATTTCGGTCGTTTCTATCTCTGTTCTGACCTATGCGTGACTCAAATGCTGACGTTGGTACGCTCGTAGTGGATAAAGTCCTTGTGGTTTTAGATATTTGATCCTAGGATGTACGAATAGACTCGGACGATATGTACAGTAGACATGAGAATAGTGTAAATACTGGCCGACAAACTATAAACCTGGAGAGGCACAAGTGGCATGGAGATCGACACGAGGTATGGGTCGAGGATGGCAAACAAATCGCCGCTCTGGTCCCGCAGATGACCCACGAAGCACCTTGGCAAAAAAACCAGGCGGAAATAACTGCACGAGTCGATAGCGCCGTTACCCTATCCCGCCATGTCGTCCTGAAACCCCTCCCCTGCGTCGGCACAATATTAACATTTGCGATGGATGACTGACACGCGCCGTCCTGGAAGCGCACACGGGATCTTAGAATGGTCGACGGGCGGCGGGCGGCCCCTTCCCGTCCTCGATGAGGCGCGTCAGCGGGGACGGCGAGGCGGGTACGCCCGTTGACATCGACGGCGCGGAGAACGCCGCTGCGCTGGTGTGCCTGCGTCTGGGAACTTCGTATGAGCGAGCGGGCGTACACGTTAGAGATAAGTGCAGGGCACTGACGGCCTGAGGTCGGCCATCTCGATGTCATTATCCTCTGGGCAGCGAGGTCCCGCGGTCCGCGCGGACGGAGATGTGGGAGACGAGGACGAGGGCGACTCTGCGTTGCGGCTGCGGCGGTATTCGATGGTTGCCATAGCGAGGTGCGCTGCGGCCGTGATGCTGCGCGCCGTTAGTGTCGGGTGCGCTAGACAGAGGCTGAGACGACAACGCACAGCTGCTTGATGCGGTGTGCGAGTGAGCAAACATCGCTTTGGACGATGTACTCTGTATAGACGCGGCAGGCACAGAGTACGCTGCACACAGGAGATCGATGTGAGAGATGTTGGCAGGAACAAGTAACCGAGAGATTCACGCGACGTACGTCAAAACATCTGGAGATGATGGTCGTTGGTTAGCACGACGACCGCATACCGGAGCTTGTAGGGCACCCACATGCCGTGAAGCAGACAGTCTAGTCTGAGAGGGTTAGTTAGCGGTTCACATGAGGTGATATTGAACAGACCATGACCATATATCCTGCGGGAGGGGCATCACGCTATAATGAGCTTATGGTACCTAACATGACAGTGCACATACCATCCGCGCTAGGAGCTACCATGCCCACAATCTAGACGCGTAATTTATCTGAATCAGGGCTCGGTAGGTTCCGTAGAGGTGAGGCCCGGGACAGACCATGGACGCTAATGTCATGAAGAACATAACGACGAAGTAGAGCAATAGCCTTGCGGGGGCGTTCACCATGGCGGAGCGTACCGAGCTTGAGGCAGGAGTCGAGAGACGTGTGAAATAAAAGGGAAAGGCGGTAGCTGTAAGTAAGAAAGCAGAGTAGACGGTGACTACGCTCAATAGAGGTTAGTGAGGCCATTTTGGGGCCATGACAACGTGTACACCGGGACATACGATAGATGGAGAACAGCAGCTGAAAGGTGGTGGCCTTCCAGACACTATTTAACATTGTCAAAGCTTGGCGGGTAGTCAGCTAATGCTACCCCGGGTATATGGGCAGCCTCACCAGCGACTACCAACCCCCACAGTCCGGCCTGTGCGATTAGGAGCACTGTCGTGATACGTGAGTGGTTCCGTATGAGAATCCTGCAGTTTCGTGAGTCAGCCCAAACTCGAGCATACCGGGCGAAAATAACGCACACACTGATTGACAATAGTTGGTATGCACATCCAAGGGCTACAGTATATGTGATCTACACATACGTGCGCTTAATGAGGCGCATGTTGATAAATTGACGCGCTCACCTCGCTCATATAATAAAGTGACTAACAGCGTGTCATTAATCTAAGAAGTTGCATTCATACGCAGGAGAGCGCACCTTATAGATATTATAGCGAAGGCATGTTAGATACAGCATCTTGGACATGATTGAGACGTAAGAGAGATATCTGCAGGCCAGGTACAAGACGAAGATGCCCGTGCGGCATCCTTGCTTAGATTTCCAGACGCCGAGCTCAAAGTAAAGGGTGCACAGTAGCTCCCATCTTAGTGGCCATGTTAGTCTGAGGATCGAGGAGTGATGGAGACCGCAACCTACGTGCTCAGTCCGGATAGTAGCTGAACAACAAGAAGTGCTGTCTCTGAGCCGGACGGTCAGGAATTTCTTGCCATTGCACACGTATGAAATACTCACCGAGCGGTTTATCTACGTCTCGCGATGAAATCCTGTGCAATGACGACGACATTCGCTACCCCTGATGATAAGTCCTCAAAGAGGGGAGTCGCAGACTTCAGCAACCATGCACGTTGCGATTCCGGGACAGCACGACGCAAGCAGGAAGGAAATGATGGTCTTGGAGCACAATCGGAAGGCTACAGAATGGTCTTAATTTTGTATTGGTCAGCGTCCGATGTTGTTTCTGAATCGGCAGTGTCGGGTCGACGCTTAGTACATGAAGGTGTGGGAAAAATGGAGAGTGCCGCGTACACGTCACCCCGACACCTGGCATAGCATGAGGGGTGGAGAGGAGGAACCAATGGAGATCCCCACCTGCGGAAGGCAAGCAGCATGGACACGCGGGTAGCTTGGCGAGGACTGGGAGGTGCTCAATCCACCACAACGCTGCCGGTGATAGCCGCTAGAAGTTAATCAGGGATCTTGCCGATCCCGATCTCAGAAGCCTCGTGAGAGTTTCGCACCGGCTGTTCCTGTTTCAGCGATTTTAAGGCTGTGGCCGCCGTAAATGGCTGCAACATAATCCAGGTCGCTTCAAGCCCAACACACCTTCGTTCGAGGCTCGTCCTTGGGATTCTGCAACTTGTCCTGGCTTTTTCTAGGATCTGTCGTTGGCGTCAAGTTCCTTTTTTCGAATGTATACCACAAGTGCTGATAGCTCACCTTGAATGCCACGAGCTAAATTTGACTAGTGGTACGTATTATCTCCATTTGATATCAGGGTTTCAGACAAGGTTCAGACACACAGAAATCGCTCACCAAAATCGACCCTCATTTGGCCGTGTTTAGCCTGAGATGAACTTGCACAACAAGCAGGTAGCCATCGAACTGCTGACTCGTAGGCGTAAACCTCAACTCGTAAGGATTTGTATTTCGGCTTACGTCTGCGGCGCCACGTTCGTCGGGGCATACTCAGAATCTCTTCTTGAGGATGCTTGCCCGAAGCGCCAATCATCAAGCTATGCATTCGCCTAAGTATCGGATCAGAAACTCTAGTAACTTACGTTCTTGCAAGGTAAGTCGTAACATAAGCGGCGGCCCCGAGAATGTTCGCTGCTGTCTAGGCGACTTTATTGGTTATAGATAGAGTTCTTCTGCCTCCCGTACATCGCGATCTCACAGTCCGTCGGCATCGTCGTATGAGGCATAGTTCAACTGACTAACAAAGTTCAGCGCTCAACTCAATTATAACTTGTAAGCCTTTTGTGGACAGGACCGTGCCTTTTTGATCCCCAGCCTTTTCTTCCTTCACCATCTGACTGCCATGATCTCGTGGGTCGTCGCCGTGACCGATATGAAGGAGCTTCAAAACTGTGAGCACCTCCGTCGTGCCTTGCACTACACCACCATATCTTTTTTCTAGCCAGATTCGCTTCAGTATTCGCTCTACTGTTGACTGGAGTGAACTCGTAAGTCATCTGCAATGGCTCTAGCCATCGTTGCTTATGCCCGTGCCGTATCCTGGATGATGCGTGGCGTGCAATTAGTTGGGAGTTCATACAGACGTTGAGATTCAGCATCTCTATATTACGTAGAAGAAAGGGCTGCTCTTGGGGCTTCGCATCCTTCCACGCATGTTGTCAATACGTCGCGGTCATACCGTTCATATTGACGATGCTTTGTCTCTATCACCAAGGCCTGGCGCGGCGTCCGGTAGGTCTCCTGACAATATGCAGCGTTACTGACCTTGAGTTGTATTTGGTGCTGCGGAAATAGGTTGTCAGGATGTTATTTCAGGTAGGCGAACGGCTTCCATCGCAACAGCAGGGCTTCTGATGCATTGCCTTAGACGAGCTGCGCTGTGTCGCATGGCGCCGGCTTTTCCGTCATACTCATCCGTGTGTGCGTACTCGATTACATATTTTTCAACGCGGATAACCCATATTAGGCACACGTCAGCCTCCAAGTGAGCAAGAACCTCTACACGGGCCAGTTGTTGTCAATACTGCACGTCACCTTATGGGCAGCCATCATCAAAGGTTTGTGGCCGCTAGTCGGGACACGCATTCTGTTGTGAAAACGTTGCTCCTGGCCGCCTTTAGGTATATCCGGAATAAGTCAAGACTCGCAAGCCTTTGACATGGCATCCATCGTTTGTGCGCACTGTGCGCCCCTTTCCCTTACACTCTACTAACAATATATAGCGATGATGCTGGCCAGCGTGATGCTAGTGGCGTACGTTGCTAGCGTCATCGCTCAACGTAAGGAGGACGACGAAATAGAAGAGGAGTACTCTAACAGTCTGCAAAAACTTCTCAACCAACGCGCGCATGTCCTGCTCGCCGTCTGGATATCCTCCATCCTGGCAAACGTATGGCGCCCCACAGTCCCTCATCTATTGGCTTAACACACTGCCAGATGCCCCCTTTTGTCGCAAGTCAACCTCGCCGTACGTGTTGTATGAGTCAAACAACTGTGTGGGGCCTGATTCCTTTCTACATCTCGCAGATGTATTGATATTCGTGAGTCTCAGTTCTCTACCATGTACCAGTGATATGAATCGTTGGCCGAATCGCAGTGCACAGGGTATTCTGCATGTAAGCCCTGTCCTGCACACCTCCAAATTTCGTCCGCTCACAAATGCACATTAGATAGCATCACGTAAGATTTTGGTCTTAGGAAAGGTTTGCAACATGTGAAGGTTCTCTCAGCGTGGCGTGTGCATGCTACTACTATAGGCATATGATCAACCATTACCAGGCCTGCCCGGTCATCCAACACTGGGTGCAGTACAGCATGTGAGTCCACGACCTATTTGTCCGCTAAACCCGACGCTTAGACCATGAATGTCAGTATACATCGATGCGTTGCGAACGGGACGCACCTGCGAGCGCTCCAGGCGATGGGCGAGAGTCGAGATTCAATCGCCAGATCGTGTTGTCGTGTCAGGGAGTCCTTGCGGGCGAAAGCTCCATTTGGCCGAGAAAGCGCTCCTGATGTAGAAGTCATTGCCCTCGAACCCATTCAACTGTGAGTACTTCTGCTGTGAGTACTTCTGCTGTGAGTATAGTGAAATCCCTGTTAATTCAACGACGCGCATTGCTAGTCCTCTACATGATCCCCGCTCGCTGTCCTCAGCAGAGCTCACGAGGATCAGTGTGAAGGTGTCGGGCTCGTCCTCGGCCGCGTCAAGTGTCGCGGCCTTTTAATTCGACGCGAGAAGCGCCAGGCCAAACTGTATCCAGATCTCCGTGCCTTCAGCACTGGCCTCCTCGCAGTCTCCATCGCAAGCATTGACCTGATGGCTACGCACGCGAATTTATCCACAATATTTTGCATGCTGTAATCTTGTTATACTAACCTAATCCTCGCCTAATCCTCGCTCTCCCAATGCTGCGCGGGGTGATGTCATTGACAAGTTACAACTCGTAAACTAACAGCCGGCATCGCTGGCAAGTGACACTCTGAGTGGCGCTTGTACGCCATTCTCCCCTTCAAGCGTGGGCACCATGATTACCGCATTGTCCCTGCGAAGACGTTTGATGTCGTCCGTGAGCGCGAATTCGAAGTTGGAAATCAATTGGACGATGAACGCTTGCAGCTCGTATAGACTGAGGTATATGGTTTGGTCAGTAGTATCCAACAGTTATGATTTCAGCAAGGCGCGTACGCGAATCGCCAACCGATGCAAGCCCGGACGCCTCCCGAGAACGTCAAGCTGGAGGACGTGGTGAGTATCATGAATATAACATCCGAAACATGGACAACCGCGTACATGTTCCCAAATACCCCTACAGTGGGACCACGTTTGCCCGAACGGTGCAAGAATCGTTCAGGGTTGAACGTATGTGCATCCTCGCCCCAGATGCCCTTGTCCCTGCGAGAATGGCACACGGTCAGTCACGTCCATGTCATCGCAGGAGTGTAATTTGTCACCTGTTGTAGCCGGCCACGGACAGCACTAGGCGGATACCCGCGGGGATCGCGACTTCGGTAACGACTTCGCCGGACCGCAACGTCAGAGGTTTGGAAAGCGGCAACACGTCATCCTTCCCTGCTTGTCTGTAGGTATGTGGGACGACGGGATGGAAGCGAAGCACCTCGCGCACGACAGCCTGCAAGAACGGCATGGATTCCATGTCTTGCACACTGAGGCTGACGTCTCCGCGCTCCCGCACGGTCCGTTTAGCAGCTCTAATTTCAGCACGCAAGCGACTCTGGTAGTGCGGGTACCGAGCAAGCTCCACGAGGGCAAAACTGAGAGTGTTAGTCGTCGTTTCTTGCCCTGCCATCATGATGGTCCTAGCAAGCCGTTCAACACTCATACCATACCCCGTGAAAGTACTAAAGGCTTACCGCATTTGTGCTATCATTTCATCATGAGTGAGACGTGATAGATCGTTCTCGGACGCATTCGCCTTCACTGAACGAGGACATGAGTAACCCTCCTCAAGTACTTGGCTGCAGGGTGCATACCAAGCATGCTCATGACATCACGACTGCCTTTCCCGAGCATCAGAGCTTGCGACTTAGATTGAAGTAAGCCTTCCGCCACCGAATGTGCGACGTCCCGGTTAAAGCGGGCCTTCTGAAGGCCTTTCCCAGGAAGATGATCATACAAAAATTCGGCCAGACGCATTGGCAGATAATGTGCGATGCTTGTGAATAATATCTTTGACTTCGACGGTCTCGCAAATATGTCCGCGCTGCGCAGTATAAGTTATTGTCTGTACATGAAAATGATTGGTTCGTCTGACGTACACAAGGTTCAGATAAGCCTTTGCGAGTTCATTGTCAGAGTTATCAAGACATCCTAGTTTGTAGTCGAACGCAGCTGCATGGCAGTACCAATCTCAGTGATCCTGTCGTCAAGGACAGTAGATTACGTTCACACACCCTCTCCAATCGCGTCCAGCGTTGCAGGCGAGATGTGCTGAATGACATTTAGAATAGCACTATGTTCAGGTGCGGTCTCCAGTATCTCCTTCCACCGTATGGCGACCTAATGGAAGCAGTGCAAAACGGTCAAGACCAATCTGCCCGCAGCCTGGATCTTCACACACCTGTTCTGCATGGTGCTCAAAGATTGGGAGAAGGGCTCGCGATTCGGGTCCCCCAAATGCGGGAAACATGACCTTCCGCTGTCTTTTGTGGGTATCACCTGTGTACCGGCATATAGAGTGAGCATGAACTGATTGACGTCATTGAAGCTTACCGTCAGCCCACGTCAGTCCATGGTCACCTACAAGACGGGAAACGGCTCGTCGCTCAGGTTGCTTGGGAAAGTTGTATCCTGAAGTTTGATATATGTATTGAAGCGCCTTGGGATCACTGATCCACAACATATCTTCCTGGAGAAGACCCATCAATGTGCGGATGTATACTGGGGCAAATACAACGTACGCCGAACGGTGCCTTGATCCGAGCAATACCACCATACACAGTCTGCCATTCGAAATCTGCCACTGCAGCCTGACCTTGATGCAGTTCACTCAAGTTGCCTATCCGACGTTTAGTAGTTGCACGTCCACTCATGTAAGATACAGCGCACCCATTAAGAAGGACTCAGGTTGTGGTCCCGGAATATTGGAAACTGAGGGTTTCCTGAGTCTCCGTATCATCGCATAGATACAAGCAAGGGTCAAGAGCAGTATACCACTAGACAAGGCATCCATTATGTGCGCGTTATGTTGGTGGAGATGGTGAGCAATGGGAAGCGAATACACTGGTCATTTATATCGACTGTACGTGAGGTCGTGATCATCTACTTTGAGCACCACCTGAGTCATTTGACCAGCTTTTCGGTTCAAACCTTTCTAGACAGCGACGGTTGATTTGCTAGCATGCTTTGATGACCTCCGCCCGTATTCAGAGATAAATCAGCGCTTCTGCCAGCTTTGTGGGCGGGTATCATCACGTACTCCACAGGGCGGAGTGTACGGTCTACATGGTTGTCTTCAAGAGTACAACTTACCACGCCCAACCATGCAGATTAATCCACAGCACGATAAAACAAACCAATCAGATTGCGCGCATTCGAGGAGAACTCTTACATTATATATAATATTCATGAGCGCCCTGAGAAATACAACATCCGACTTGCAGAGTTTCGAATTCTCATGTCACTGACGTTACGATGCATGATATGAATACTATACCAAATAGGGAGAAGAAGCCACCCACGGAGATTCGAAGAAGTCTTGCTGATATCTGTCAGTTGCCAGTATTTGATAGGCTCGTATTAATCGCTACTATGCACCGCGCGTAGCCAATACTTGGGCCGAGAGTAGGACACCAAAGGAAACCGGGTAAGGTAGCGCTCGTGGAAGTGATGCGGTGCTGTAGCACTCCTTGGTATTGTTTACTCTCCTTGAAGTTAGGTTACGAGACTAAGCAGTGGAAGTGTGTTGAGTGATTAGCTTCAAGATCATACATAAGCCGATTTACTGCAGGAGCATCATACATAAGCTGATTTATTGCAGGCACCCAAGTTATGGGGCCTGTATCTGTGCATGAGCTATGACATCTAGACTTGGCTTGTTAGACCGAGCATTTTGATTCGGTCCGTGCGCACAGCTGGCGGAGCCTCATATACAGCATATGGTTACACGAGAAGTTGTTTCTGAGTAGTGATTGGTCAACACGCATCTATCGTTTCGCAGTTAGCCGTAATGCGTACCTGGTCAAAACTTGGGCAATGCTTCATCACTTGAAGCCAATGATGCAAGAAGCTGCAGAACAAATTCGCGGTGATGATGCTCAGCGAATTCCCAATGTACGTCTCACTTCGGGAATGAGGTGTAGCATTGTGGAAGCTAGGGAGATCATCACCTTTTGACATTTCACAGCGAAGGTATCTGCTGCAGCAGGCGAGGCACATAGCCAGCTTCGAAACCAGCTGCATATACATGTCGCATACGAGCGACAGACGGCGTGAGCAATACTGATACATATTAATTATGATGTTCTCCGCGTGTGCAGTAATGTCCCAAAATAATGATACAGACCGTTGAATACATAGATCAAGCAATCGATGTGGGCAGGGCATCAGGCGCTTTCGCACTCTTCTTCTTGTTGGTAGTCCCGGGCGGCCTGCCCCTCCTTTGCGGCTCCGCAGGGGGCACGGGGCTGGGAACAATGAAGTCCTGAGCAGCTTCTCCCTCCGAAGGTCCCGCCATCAGGCCCATAGGCGCCGCAGCGCCCTTAGCTTTCGACTTCTTCTTCGTCGTGACCGCTGATGGAGCCCCCTTCATAATCTGGCCAAGCGGCCCCATCTTCGTATGAGCGGGGCTAGGAGGATCGTCAGGCAAAATATGAGGCGGAGTATCTGGGTCGGCGGCCGCAGACGAGAAGGCTTGCGGATGCATCAGCGGTGGTGCGAACTCTGGAGAAACACTCGAGAGAGGCGGAGCTGGTGGTGGGATAGGAAGAACAGGAGGTGCAGACAAGGAAATAAGCCGATGCTGGTAGTATGGCTGGAGTAGGCCGATTTGATGTTCCACTGCTTTGTAATTCAGCGGCAAGAAGGGAGGTGGTGGAGGAAAGGGCGGTGGGGGCTCTGAGGGCTTGGATCTAGAACACGATATGCAGATGCGATGAGTTCATAAGCTAATAAGCAAAAGAGCTATGGAGACGCACGCAGAAGGTCCTTCTGCAAGACCCTGCTTTCCCTTGCCCTTGAGTAACTTCTTCGGTATTGTGAGACTCGACAGGCCGAATTCTGCAGCAATACCAAGCTCCCGGAGACCAAGGAAATCCTCGCCAAACGAGTCAGCAAAGTTGCCCCTGTAGGACGGTGGTTAGCCGGGAGGGGTAGCAGCGTCTTGTTTAGTCCGTACATGACAAATTGTCCATCTTCCTCGTCCTCCCCGTTCTGGAAGAGCACATCATCATCCCACGCCTCTTCAGTCGTCTATTCCAGCCGAATGAGCCGACATGCCAACTTGGTAGGGGCAAGATTGGAACTCACCGCCTCGCGATATGCCGTGTCGAGCTTCTTCTCAAGCTCGGATAGACGTCCACCGTATCTAAGGATTTCATCTTTGATATAGCGTTCGAGCTCGTAGATTCGCGTCGTGCCGCTCTCAAACAGGGTGTGAAGAATGATTTCCTGAGCACGACTATAAGTATGCAGAATATTGTCACATGGTGTGACGCACCTCAGGTGTCATCTTCTTGGAATACTTATCGCACAAAAACCGGATCGTCCTACCGACATTGAGAAGATACTCCGATGTGACTCCAGCTAGAACGTCCAGCGCGACCTTAGACGCTCCTAAACGTAGGTTGAGCTACGCTCAAGCAGTCTCACAAATTGTGACGCACCCTGAAATCCGGCATGCTCAAGGATCTTGCTGCCCGTCCAATGGAGACAGTCATCAGCGCTTTCCTCGCCAATCTCAATTCCCGAGCCCATGGGACGCCATGGCCGCTCGTCGATGACATCTTCTACCTCCTCCGGAGCAAGATCGGGCGGGGGTAGCACAGATCCTCCAGCTTCTTCATTAGCCTGATTCAGAGAAGCAAATTTAGCATGTGTGGTGCGGACCCGCCGCAAGGTGCGAATGTTGTTGTTCATATGATACAGAAGGGTATTGCTAGATGGCTTCGTCTTCCGCTTCTTCTTGCGTCGTACAGTTGCTTCTCGCGGGGGGTCTGTGATACTGAAAGGCGGTGATAAGTTTGAGATCGGTTCGGATGACGCGTGTGTGATGATGGGCAGGCCATTCCCAAACAACTCTTCTGACTGTACAGCATCCCACCAAAGTTCTACCGTATCTTTGTCTTCAGGTGAATGTGTCCGTGCTCGTTTGCGAGGTCTCCCATCAACAAATCCGTTGAGCTTGCGCTTGGAGCCGACCTCACCGTCGATTGTGCTTAGGCTTACTTCACCCGCTCGCGGATCACTGCCGTCACTATCGTCGGTGGACGTAATGGCGTATTCGCTTAGCCTGTCTGCTAAGGTCGTCATTTGGCGGTTGAATTCTTGCGTTGCATGCCACGGGGGCATTTGACCGGTCAGCTCGCGGTCCAGCTGCATGAAAGCCGCCATACCGTCGGCCGTCCGAACAACGGCAGGGCGCTCCTCGAACGGTATGTCACCACGGGCCTTCTTGCTTCCCGCGGCTATTGGAATGGCCTTTCCAGGGCTCGGTGACTTCACGGCCACAGGTGAATGAAACCGTTTGTGCCCGTTCAACGCTACGCCATTGGGTCTCAGACGCGTCCCACCCGAAGCGATGTCGGCCGGTATGACAGGATCGGCGCGTTCCTTCCAATCCGTTATATTCTTGAGTAGCCGTTCGGCCTTTACCTTAAGCCGCTTTGCGCACATGCGTAGAGGGTGGTTCTGTGATCCCGCGTTAGCATTGCAGGCTGGAAAGATGATTATTCACCTTCACCTCCGTGGCATTATAGGTGAAACAATTTGACCATATCAGATCCAAATCGTCTTTGAATTCCTTCTTGGACTTGTATTGCTTCTGCTTGACCTTCTTGAGCATGGTCTGCAAGTCCATGGGATTGGTTATGACTGCAAGCGTATTCGCGCATTCAGTGACGCGTCCGCTGGAGGTGCAGCAGTCTACTGACCATCATAGTAGTCTGGGACTTCAGCCTTAGAGACTGGCTTGAGGAATGCCTCTGCGTCGCGGTTGTCCTACGTAACATTAGATGAGACTTGAATCGTGCCCGAGAACATACCATGGTGACCGTCCGAAGATCCACCAAGAGGCCCTCGAGAGAGTCGTAAAACGCGTCTGCGAGCTTCGTAACATCGTGAGACTGCCGCTAGACTATAGTCAGGAATATATAACATCATTGAGCCGTTACGATCCACTCACGCGGCTATCCTTAACGGCGCTTAATAGTAACTTGAGATCGGTGCTCGGTTGGAACAGCCTATTGCGACTTTCTGTTAGGGTTCTGAGGAGGTTCTAATGTACAACACGGGTCAGAGTAAAAACGGAGGATGGATGGCTGCTAGAAAGCAGTGAACTCACGTTCATCCTCACCAAACACGCATTCTGCGGGAAAGTGGCGGTAACAAGACAAGGGACTTATAACTCCGCTCGTAATAGTCGCAAAATGCCGATCGGCCACAATGATACCTTCGCGACCTAGGGCGTGCTACAGATTGCTTACAGTGCTCTGTGATTCAGTATGTGGAACTGATGTAATCCTGGTGAGAGTACAAAGCATCGAGGAAGGTTGTATAGTGCTTTGTCTGAACAATCACGAATTTCTGTGCCGCCACAGTCGCCACGTTTGATTACGTAAACCGTGTCGCGGAGGGGGTCAGCCCGTGCGTCGCGTTCACCGATGTTGACCCCGTTCCAGCTTCGTCCAGCGTACCTTCTTTCTGTCCAACGGCTTTCTGGTCACACCAATGCTAGGTTTCAACTGATTTCGACTTATGTTTTGCTGTGTATCTACCCTCATTCGTCAATTCCTATCCGACAGCCGACAGAATCAACTTTACGCCGCCAACGACCATGTCTGGTCTCAAGAACTCGCCCTTCGGGAAGCGACTACGAGCTTCCCGTCAAGACGGCGAGGGCGACCCCAGTCGACGACATAGGCCACGCGTCAATCAAATATTTGGCCTCGCACCGGCGTCCACACCCTCTCTTGACTCGCGCCCCACAACCAGCGAAAGTGGCGGGTCTGAATCACCCGCCGACGCGCGTACTACGCGCGACTATGGCGATCGCTTCGTGCCCTCGCGCGATGCGGGCGACATACGCACAGCGTATCACCTGATGGACGGTGGCGCACCTTCCACACCCTCAAAGAACCGCATCATACCTACTGAATCGGACGCGCTCAAGGAGGAGGCGAACTCGATCTTCACGTCGATACTGCACACCGAAGTAGCGTCGTCTCCCGGTCGCTCAGCTTCGCCGACGCGACCGACCGCGGGGCCATCTACCACGCCTTTACCGTCTACGCCGACGCGACGACGACTCTTTGCCTACAACTCTCCTTCGCGATCCAACCCTGCGACGCCTACGCGACGATTGGACGCTCCAACAGATGAGGCGTACTCAATGAGCCCGGTTCGAGCGGAAAGTAGGCAGCTACTGGAGAGTCCCCGCCGGCAGATCCGCAATGTCTGCAAGACGCCCTATCGAGTACTTGACGCGCCGGAGCTCGCTGATGACTTCTATCTCAACCTCGTAGACTGGGCGAGTACGAACGTGCTGGGAGTGGGGCTCGGATCGTGCGTGTATCTTTGGACCGCACATACAGCACAAGTATCAAAGCTGTGCGATCTCTCAGATTCGAACGACACGATCAGCTCAGTGTCATGGGTTCAGAAGGTATGTGCAGAATAATCCCGGGGCTACTATCAGGCTGACGCCATGACTAAGGGCACTACGCTGGCCGTGGGGACACTTTCCGGTCGACTACGAATATACGATGCCAACACGCTGCAGTTACAACGGACGTATCAACAAGCACACACACAGCGAATAGGCGCTCTCTCGTGGAACGCACATATTCTGAGCTCGGGATCGCGAGATCGGATGATACACCACCGAGACGTGCGGGAAGCGGGAACAAAACCATTCAAACGGGTGCAAGGCCATCGACAAGAGGTTTGCGGCCTACGTTGGAGTGGCGATGGCGGAGCTCAAGCGGCAACGCTGGCAAGTGGCGGTAATGACAACAAGGTCTGCATCTGGGACCTGAGAGGTTCGAAACGGCCTCAGCCAAGTGCGGCTGCACGAGCCACCACGGCAACGGCAAGCGCAACGGCCAGCAGCTCAGGCGAAGATGGCGGCGAAGTGCCGCTGTGGAAGTTCCACGAGCATACGGCGGCTGTCAAGGCGCTTGCGTGGGACCCCCATGTGGCGGGCGTACTGGCATCAGGAGGAGGGACAGCGGACAAGCACATTAGGTTCTGGAATACGTTCAACGGGAATATGCTGAACGAGCTAGACACTGGGAGTCAGGTGAGTCGTGATATTATGCCCTACCGGTATCAACCATATCTGACAACGCTATAGGTTTGCAACCTCGCTTGGTCTCTTACATCGCATGAGCTAGTGTCAACACACGGATTCTCTTCCACGACCGCACAACACCAGATATGCATCTGGAAGTACCCGTCACTCGACATGGTCGCCTCTCTCACCGGCCACACATATCGTGTCCTATACCTTGCCATGAGCCCTGATGGCGAGACGATTGTCACCGGAGCCGGCGATGAGACCCTCAGGTTCTGGAACGCGTTCCCCAAGAGGGAGAACCATGAAGCCAAACGCGAGAGCCGTCTGGACTACGGACGGCTCATTCGGTGATCCTTGCCCTCCTATCTTTATTGATTGCATATCCTGTTTTTCATTGTTCGCCTGCGTCATTTCGATCTTCGTCTTTTGCACGCTGCCACATTGTTCGGACCTGCTATAGTACGCTTGGTCTAGTGCAGTCTTTTGCTTCCTCTCCCCCCTCTATTTCGCTCTCGATGAGACGCCTATATCCTACGCTCCCATCTAACTACCCCGGACTATTTTCATACCATCATCGCATCCCACATACGCCTATCCATCCACCCCTGTCCCCATTCCCAACCACACAAAAACAGCACAACAGATTTCCTCGTCTCCTTTGTCCATGTACCGGGATTGTCGTTCGCCATTTTCCAAGATGCCAATTCGCTTTGCTATGAATCTCTCCTTCGATGTTCCCCAATGTTGTTAGGTCTTAGATCCTTTCTTGTAGGGCTATTGTCATCATTGCTGCATGCCATTTCATCTAGGTTTGTTTGATACATATGTAACAATCGATATCCATGCTCTACGTCCTTTCCCTGTGTGAAACAAGAACTCGGTATACTCGTGGTTCAGCTTCAACATTATTTGGCATGCGATAACGTCGCAGGTTTGGAGTAAGCAGTCTTGCTATGTATTACACAAGTCGTCGATCCTAGTCACTTGCCAAAAACAGACTTGAAACGGACCTCGATCTCTGCTTTGCTTCCTCCTCTTTTCTGCATGCTCTGTCTACAAAGGACTTCTCCATAGCACGCCACAACATTTCCTGAGAAATATCCTCATTTTGACTGGCAGTACTAGCATCAATTCGCATTTCCATGCATCGACCCGGCATGGCACATCCCCCGCGACGCGAAATATACATGAGTATCCCTGCGGCCAATGCTGACAAGGAAGAGAGCTTTGAAGTCAGTACATCTATTTCATCGCTGACAATGTTTTCTGCTTACTGAGCTTCATGATTCCTCTGCAGGAAACACGGGTCCTGGACTACCTACATGCCTACCGGACGACTGGCAAGCCACCTGGACCATGTCCCCAGACACCAACGAACGCTGCCGAACGCACTGCTCTAGGCCTACCGCCCCTCTTTGAGCCGCACTCCGAGCTGTTCACATACCCGACGGACCAGGATACCATGGCCAGCAGTCGTCAGCTAATCACCACGGTTCCCCTTCCTGTTCCTGGGGCAATGTCAGATGCGCACGCTTTCCGGGCTACCCGGGGAGACCCATCCATCGGCGATGGTAACACTTTCTACCAGAGCATCACAGTGCAGCCCGAATTCAAGGGGTTCTCTTTCGAGGTGCGTCGCGAGCAGCTGCCTTAAGTGCTCATACGCACAGGAGATGCGATGGATCCATTACAGGAACTCCGCGCTGCCGCCTACCGCGCCGGACGCAAATTTGTGCAATCGCCAGCGCCACCACGTGAGTTACCCCCGTCCGCTGTATTATGTCTCTAATCTTGCAGCAGAAGCCGCGAGTCCTGTATCTCCGCAAGCATCCTATGCTCCACAGATCAATGGCGCGGGTGCTCAGGAGAAGTTCCAGAGCATTTCCTGCTTGCCACCCTATAGCAAGCATAGCTTCGAGGTAGGTGTCGCGATCGGGGAAACATCGAAACGTAGCTCATGTTCTTTCTAGGAGCTTCGCCTCGCTTTTGTGCGCTCTGGGGTCCCACTCTCATCAGCAGATATCATACAGCGGAATGCCTCGCTCAGGCTTGCATAATCCATTACCCGCAACCATTGATACCCAAACCTCCCGGGTGAGATGTGCTATTCTCGCTGAACCAAGACATCTGTATTCTCTTGCTCATCCGCTGTGTATTCATAATGTCATGTATTGAATATATAGTGATCCTTGCTTAATCCATATGATACATTGTGCTTGTTTGTGCGCGATATGATACAGTGCTGATGTTCTGCACGCCAGGTGCAAGAACGGTGTCCATATCACCGATTCACCGACGGACTTTCGACAACCATGACCACATCCGCGCGACGCGCTCGATCTTCCCGACTTCGTCCTCCGAGACCTCCCACTTCCATATGCTCAAAATGTCGGCTTGGTCGTCGATGAAGCGCAGGGTGGCGTCGGCACCCTTATTCGACACGAATGACAGGTAGCACCCGACAATGGACATCGCGTCCGTGGGCCGGCGCGGCGGGGTGGAAACCAGTATGCGCACGTTGGCGCATGGCGCACTCGACATCAGGGGCCGCGGCGCGGTAGCGCTGACGTAGGGCAGCGCCTGTGCGAGAAAGTCGCGCGCGGCGCGGAGCTGAGCGTCGGTGAGCCCGAGCCCCGCCCGCTCCGCGTCGGCGGGATGCGCCGCCGGCAGGACGAGCCGCAGACGGTGCACGCGGCCCTCGTACGCCTGCTCGATCGCGCCACTGTCGTAGCCAGGCGGCGGATAGCAGATGTCGATGACGTGAGTGTAGCGCTCCTCCTGCCTCTTGGCCGCGTCTGCGGCTGCGTCGGCGAGCTTGAACGCGAGGAAAAGCCCGGGGACGACCTCCTGCAGGTGGCGCTCCCCCTTGGGCGGCTGCTCCGAGTCGGGTTTGGGCTCCGTCGTGCTCGGGCTGTCATCGTCGACGACGACGATGCGCTTGATCTGGCCCTTGCGTCTGCGCGGCAGGTTGTTGCGGTGTGGCTGGACGTGGCCCTTGGGCGACCATGGCGCTGCGCGGCCCTGCTGAGCGCAAGTCGTGTGGATCTTCAGGCTGAGGTTGAATCCACAGCGTTCGCGCAGCGGCCGACGGACCGCAGCCTGCACTGGCGGAGGGAAGTGGGCGATGGGGCTCGTCGGATAGCAGGCGAGCGTCGGCGATTGTGCCGGAGTGATGGGAGCGGGCACGACGTCGGTGGTGGCCATCACAGCGGTATGTGCGATGAAATGAATGACTGAATGATCTGGGTGGTACGCGTTTAGTTGCAGTGTGCAGATACAGCTGGCAAGTCACGGACTTGCACGAAGATAGGTGTTGGTGGTGCTTGGCACTGCGCAGAAGCTTTATTATATACGAGAAGAACACGAGGAGTGGCTTGGAGAAAGCTGTGTACACGAGGTGAACCGACCGTCGGGGGCTGTTATGGAAGAAGGGGTGGTGATAGGAGGAAGCCTCGCGTGTCGGTGAGTTGTTTGGTCCCTGCCTCGCCATTCTTATCCCTGCCTGCGACTTCGGGAGCGGATAGCACTGTGTGTGGTTATCCGAAGTCGAGCTTCTTACCGCCGGTCTAGGAAGTTGAGCGCCCTCATGTTCAGATTTCCGAGATCTAAACGTTCGTCTGATCCATCGGGTGGAATCGAAATTTCACGATTAGCCACACTCAATGGAGGCTGGCAGCCGATTGTGAATCCCCGCCAGCGATCACTGCCGTCTTCAGATGTTCTTGCATGTTGTTCAAACAGACTGATGGCATTTATTGTACTTAGTTCTGGTTGCGAGCGAAGCGAGCATATCTCGGCTAAAGGGGCTGAGGCCGGGGTTTCAGTTGGAACAAACAAGTACAAAGGATACATGCAAGCGCTTGAGGTGTTTTTACGTTGAAAGGACAGAAAGTCACCCAAACATCCCTCAAATTCCGTTGTAAAGACTTTAAAGCACGCGTAAGCATGCATAAAATGATTATATGCAAAAATAATGGCATAAAAGTGAAACTGTGTTGCGAAATAAGCATAACTACGCGAAAAGCGATTAGACGCCCATTCACTGGTGTGGCCCGCTACCATACAACTTCGTCAAATGTTCTGAAACCTGAGTCCTTTCTCTTGGGAATTTCACTGACACTGCATGCAGTAATCAATTTTCTTGCACAAAATATTGATTGAAAATTAAATTAAAAGTGAATAGGACCTATTGAATCTTATTGATGTAGAAATCTAATGGAAATCGAAGAGAATTCAAAGAAAAATTGAAAGAGACAATAGAAAATGGATTACATAATCGATTTTCCTTCGATTTCACTTCCATATTAGGCGCCAGAATACTGATTAGGTAAATCAACTTTTCTTTTGGTTTTAATTTAATTTCTTGTACTAGAAAATTGATTACTGCGTGCAGTGTGATTTAGACATAGCTAGACATCTTATCAATACATTTTTAACGGTAATGTGACGTAGGATTCAGCGCTTCGCGAGCCACTTCCCGTGCAGCGGGTGCATATTACTATGGTTTACCAGTGGATGGCCCCCCCCTCTTGATGGCCAGGTAACACTTCGTCACATTAATGTGACAATGCCGATTCAGAGGTCCGCTCGGCTCACAGGGCCGGGGCTTGAACTTTGCTCAGTGGCGTGTGGCACCACAGTGATCGACAGGTCAATCTTGTAACTCCGCTCATCGTGCTCTCGGGCGTGACATCGCCATCAAACCCCTCGAAAGAAGGACTCCTCAACGACTCATCCGTTCGCTCTGATTCCACTTGGAGGTGGAAGCAGGCATATGAAAATGTAGGTGTCCACATAACTTCGAGGGCAGGGGAGTGCCCAGTTGTTTCGCATCACAAACCTGGCCATCGAGAGGGGGGGGGCCATCCACTGGTAAACCATAGTAGCTGTGCTGGAATCTTTCATCCTGCTGCCTTATAAGGGCATGTGGTGTAGTTGGTTATCACGCTCGCTTAGCAAGTGCAAGTGCGAGAGGGGTCCAGTTCGATCCCGGACATGTCCATCATCGTGTTGAATTCCTCCTTTGTGAGCCGTCGTTTGCTTTTTTCGTTTCGCAATCAATAATCAGCCTTCTCTATGCCTCACATGAAACCCTTCGCACAACATGATTGGGCCAAAATGATGATGCCTACATCTTTGAAGTACAAGACGGGGACATTCATGCCGCGCAGCCTACAAAACCCCTCTAGTTAAGCAATATCCGAGCCGCTACCGTTGCCGTCGAGGCCATTCCCTTCGATTCTCTCCCCGTCGCTATTGTCGTCGTCATCTCCAAAGAACTCATCCCTCTGGACACCTATTTCTACATCCATCTTGTCCTGCTTGCCGCCTTGGTGTCCCGCTGCGGGATATCTATCAGAAATGTGTTTCGGCAACCGAACCCCATCCTTATTAGCGGATCTTATCTCCAATTCCGGCTCTGCACTCATTTCGCTAGCAGCCATCTGTTCGCGAACCCACGCGCGCACCTCTTCACGCTGCGCATCGGTTTCATTCTCCGATCCAGAAGGGCGCGAGTAGGAGTGGGGATATGGGTCCGAGTGTTCCTGCGACTGTGAACGGAGCTCCGGTGGGAAGAGTGAGATGTACTTCTTGAGCTTGGGATAGTGCTTGCGATCAGAGTATGGTGTCAGAAATGCCTAGGCGGCTGTCTTCGAAGCATAGGACGCACTATGATATAGTTAAGATCGACTCTGAGCTCCTCCAGTTTCTTTTCGAGTTGTTTGCGCTCTTTCTTCCCTAGCTTTGCGGCCTCCTTGCCCTTGTCAGATGCCTCGGACTGGGAAAGCTGACGCTTGACCTGCTGTATACGTCGCGTGATCTTTTGACGTTCTAGCATAGATATGAGAAGAGTTGGTTAGCGACTGAGGGATCGTTCAAACATCAGCACTATGCTTACCGAAGAACTTCACTCCATGGTATCGCGCTGACATGGCACGCTCTTTACGAACACGCTCAGCCTGCGCGAGGTCCGCCTCTAGAGATTTGAGCCTGCGTTCTGTCTTCGTGCGGACATCTGCGGCCAGTTTATCCTGGTGAGTGGGTGCTGGTCAGAATTTGAATGGGTACACGAAATACCGTTCGCTAGTAGATATGGCATCGAAGAATTTTGAACGTACCTTTGCAAGCAGCCTCCTAGTCTGTCTCAGTTGAGCCTTGATTTTCTGCACTCCAGGCAGTGCGAGTGGGGAGGAAGCATCGTCTTTCTGCTGATGTCCGTGTTTGCGTTTTGATTTAGCGTCACCGTGCGCAGAGGATTTTAGTTGCACAGACGAGGAAGTGGAAGCTGTAGACTGAGAAGTAACCCCCTTACGAGTGGGCGGCATTTTGAGTCACCTCACAACAAACAATGCTGAAGTAATTCTGGGACTGGGATTGTGGTGTCGGTCAAACTGCGAGCGTTGTGCCTCCGTCAATAATTGTGAGAAACCTTCCATCTAATCTTATCAGCTTTCGGTCTCGTGCCGAGCTGCAGATCATCATCCTGGTTTAGACATTAGATAAGATAATCCTACAGCGTACGTGGCGCATACCACACCCGAGCGCGCGAACAGCAAGGTTGTCCTGCGAGCTTGCAAGTTTCCAGTCAGTGTTGGTGCCGCTCGGTCTCCTCCTGCCAAACTATCTAGCAGGATTACACCTGTACGACCTACAGTAGCGGAATTTTCTGCTGCAAGGCATTCATGAGATTGAAGTGCAAGCATGGAGCTAGAAAGGCAAGCTTCATTGCCTTCGGCCTCATCGCCTTAGCCGCGGTATCATGCACGGCAAGAGAGACCGACGCCATTGTGAGTGCTTGAATAACGCTCTTCTAATCATCTTTACGAGCTGCTTAGGATGATGTGTCGTCTGGTGGACAGCCGCAGGAAGAATTCCAAGTGATTGATCCAGCTACTGAAGGCAAGCATCCTCGGGCTGCCAACTGAACATGAATCTGAGTCTCACATTACAGCTTCCAGAGCGTACAAACAGGCTCTCTTCACTCTAGCCACTCTCACAGCACTTCCACCGTCGCAGTCGGAGGAGCCATCACCATACCATGCACACAATGGGAATAGCTTTCAACTGTCGTCATTCTTACCCAGCATGCAGGGACAGGGCCCCTTTGCGAGTGCTATGCGTATAGCGGTCAAGCTGCTACATCAGTCATGGCTTCCACCGTCTCTCACGGGCTACATCAAGGACGAGCTGTCAGGCGCGAAGAAGAAAGACCACGAACTGCAAGGCAAGGCTGTCAAAGTCATCGACTTGCTGCAGCATGCAGCGGAACTAGGCAATGCAGACGCGTTGTATACTCTGGGTCAGGTTTCTCTGGTGCGTGATCCCTGTTGCAGTTTCCTACCGTGCGCAACTAAGCCGGATTCAAGTTTCCCCCGAATTCCTACTTCCCCTCAGATCCTGCATTGGGCTACAGTTCATTCTCAACACACGCACGATTTACTGGCAACGCGTCGTCACAAGCCGTCCTTGCCTTCTTCCACGCAACTGGGTACCATGGCGTGGTTCCAATCGATCAAGCGAAAGCCCAGCTATATCTCACATTCGCCGCGCATGGCGGACATAAGGGTGCCCAAATGGCGCTTGGGTACCGATACTGGTCGGGAATAGGCGTTGCGGAAGGCTGCATGGATGCACTGACTTGGTACGAGGAGGCTGCAGAACAAGGTGTGTGACTTGAGATCTTGTGCAAGGCGTGTTCTCGAACCCCCTCTAGCGATGGCGAAGTTCTTGTCCGGTCCGCCTGGCGGGAGGACACTGCCCTTGGCTTCGCCTCGGCTATCTGATCTTGTAGGCGGCGTCTACGGTCCTGGTGCAAGTGTAGCGTCGACAGGTCTGAGCGCGGGTCGGCCAGTGATCAAGACAGCGAGCGCGAGAGCGGCAGGAGAGACCTGGGAAGATCTTCTCGAATATTACTTGGTGTGTGCTCCGCTGCTAGGGCATAGCGCCACTGCTGAACTATACGTAGTTCAATGCTGACCGTGGGGAGCTCGACTTCGCGTACCGACTGGGAAAGATATTCTATCAGGGTAGTGTCTATGGCCTGCCCGGGGGCATCGCATCGGGCGGCGACGGCGCAAGTGCAGTTCCGCGCGACTACGCGCGGGCGCGGCACTACTTCCTGCACATTGCTCGCCAAGTCTGGCCGCGCGACCCGCCGAACTCAGCACAAGTACAGGCGTCCACGAGGGACGAAACCACGCAGGCAGGCTACGCAGCGCTTGCTGCAGGTTACCTCGGACGCATGTACTTGCGTGGAGAGGGCGTGAAACAGGACGCGGCGCTGGCGAAGATGTGGTTCGAGCGCGGGGCGGAGTTCGGCGAGAAGGAGTGCCACAACGGTCTGGGCATCATCTGGCGGGACGGCCTAGTCGAGGGGCGCAAGGACATGAAGAAGGCGCACAACCATTTCAGTGCGGCTGCGACACAGGACTTGGCCGAGGCGCAGGTGAACCTGGGTAAATACCACTACAGTAAGTCTGCTAGGATTGCGACTCGAGACATGTCTGAGGTTTTGCAGGTCGGGGTGAATACAAGTCTGCTGCCGTGCACTTCGAAGCCGCAGTCAGACAAGGCTCGCCCTTTGAGGCTTACTACTACTTGGCAGAAATCCAGAGCAGACAGGCCAGGAATCCGATGGCTGTCCCAAGCATCGCGGGCAGCTCATGTGCGATTGCCGTGTCGTTCTACAAGGTTGTCTCGGAACGAGGCGTGTGGGGTGATGACTTACTCAATGATGCCGAGCTTGCGTGGAACATGGGCACTGAGAGAGCCAGCGAAATGGCCATGTTGAGGTGGTGGATTGCTGCCGAGCGCGGATTCGAGGTCGCGCAGAATAACCTGGCGTATGTACTCGATCAAGGTGTGTCTCTGCTACCCGTCACCTGGGTTCTCCTTTCTAAGGCAAATCGATCTCAGACAAGAGCATCCTGCGCTTCACAAGATTCGCGCCCATCTCCCCTTCGAACGACACAGCACGCCTCGCGCTGACTCAGTGGACCCGTTCTGCGGCACAACGTAATGTGGACGCCCTCGTCAAAGTAGGCGACTACTACTACCACGGGCTGGGTGTCCCGGATGAACCAGAGGAGGTGCGCTGGGAAAAGGCGGCGGGCTACTATCAATCTGCGGCAGACACGCAATTGAGTGCTTTGGCAATGTGGAACCTTGGGTGGATGTATGAAAATGGGATTGGCGTCCCTCAGGTAGCTCTTCATCTTCTCAAATGTCGTGCATTCTGACGCCGATGCTCAAGCAGGATTTCCACCTTGCAAAGCGTCATTACGACTCGGCCTATGAGACAAATAGCGAGGCGTACCTCCCGGTGGCGCTATCTTTGCTCAGGTTGCATGCGCGGAGTATCTGGCACACTCTCATGGGCGGATCGAACGGGCTGAGTCTATTTGGTAATGATATTGACGAGAGTGGTGCGTGTGGTAGCCATTCCGAAGTAATACCGGGACTCATTCGCATTTGCAGATCTGTTGTACCATGCCTCATCCGAGGGACATGAGATCGAAGGCAGCAGCCCTGATCACGAAGAGCGGCCAACTGCCGGTGAGCGAGTAGAAGAGATCCACGAATATGACGAAGGCCCGTGGTACCTCGGCAAAGCGAAAGACGAATTTAACAGGCGGAGAAGAGGACAAGGTACAGGTCGGACAGGTCGCGACGAAGATGACCCCGTTCAGGCGAGTCTTGTCGTGTGTTGTGATGATCGTTCGTGACCTGATTGTTACAGTGGGCGAGAGAAAGGAGGCAAGCCGAAAACGACCGTGACAATGACCTAGGTCCTGAAGACTACTTCGATGCCGTGACTCGTGGTATCAACCGTGAGGATGAGAATGGAGACGACTTTAGCGAGACCATGCTCTTGGTCGCGCTGTGCCTCTTGGTCTCCGTGCTGATCTATGTCCGTGGGCGATGGATGGAAAGGCTACGTCGCGAAGAACAACAGCAACCACCACCACAGCAAAATCAGCAGCCAGTCGCCGGGCAGCCGCCTGCAAATGCCGCGCCAGGTGTTCCTGGCATGGACGACTGGGAAAGGGCATTGCTCAACCGTTGACATATTCGTATACACACGGACTCATACTTCGCACTGCATTTGTACCCTTGTACATGGAGATTACCATATGTGATAGATCTTGTTCCTTTCTATCTGGTCATAAGACAAGACACAATTGGAATGGCTCGATCTACAGACATCTATTGGTAAATCGACGTGCCAAATCCTTGTGCTCCCACAATGAGGACGCCGTGAGGCAGCGCTACTGCGGTTCTATCGAGCGCGCGAAGCTCCGATACTCTGCCACCATTACAGTATTGCCAGTCGAAGTACGTACGGAGCTAGGCCCACAACCGTAGACCTCGCGGATAAGAACAGCCTCGCGATGAATGCCTTAGACACCATCATCATAGGCATCCTTCTCCTGCTACTCTGTTCCGTGCTCGTTCATATCGTATACATCCTCCCTCTCGCGTTGCTGGCGATTATAGTATTCTGGACAAACAACGGCGATCATGGCCACATTGAAGCAAGCAAGCAAGGTTTCTCAGGCTACAGGTCTCACAACGCCCACTGACACGCCTGTGGCCACGGCTGCGGATGCGCCGCCAAGCGATAGCACGGTCAAAACATGTACACGCGAGGAACTCATAGCAAATATGAAGTCAAGCCTGATCACAATGCAAGTATCACGTCCAATTCGATTGACTCAGGCGTCAACAAGACCGAGCCTATTGACGATACTTCATGTAGGGGCCAGTCCTTACAAGCGTTAAACGAGAATTCGGCGAAGGTATCTACCCTGGGGCCAACAATGGTTAGTCATGCTCTGCCCTGCAATTCAACTCCTGTCAGAGACATGAATTGGTATTCCAGAAGGGCGCCGCCGCCGAAATCCAACAGCTCCACGATCGAGTAAAGGCTCAAGAAGAAAAGGAAGACAAAATAGTAAAAGCCGCCAAGGATATGATCCAGAAGAAGGTGAAGGGCCAAGTCGCCAACGAGATCCAGTGAGTTAGACGGTACCGGGCGGACGGTCCACGGCGATGTAGCTCATGATGCTCTGCTAGGGATCACATTCGCGAGCAAATAAAGCTCGAGATCGCGCTGCAAGTAAAGGGCCAAATTAACGACCAGATATCGAGCCTCTTCCCAATCACTCTGAGGCAGCAGATGGATGAAGCCCAGAAACAGATTGTCGATACGAAACATGCGCTCGACAACTCGTAAGTGGTCTTGACATGCCGATGCCGAACCATCCGCTGATGTTAGCGATCAGGAAAGCGAGGCAAGCCAACTCGCTGCTTCGATCCAGCAATCTGGACGACCGACTCGCTGCCATACTGAAGCCGGACGGGACCAGGAGTGACGTATGGCCGGTCGACTTGCGGTCTCTGTTCAATTATGACTGTAAGTAGCACCTGATCTTTGGTGGACAGCTGCGTGAGGAGACCTGACCACGAACCTCTTTATGCCACAGCATTGATGGTGCGAGTCCTCCTGAGGGATTATGGCCTGTTTGCGCAGGATACACGAGAAGGAAATCTCAACAGGTTCATGGCACACGTCGGTATGTTAAGCGATTCGAGGCTGGCGAACATGCTAACCGAAGGTCTTCGCATCATGTAGGTGTCCCATTCCAGCTGGTAGCTGTGCCAATCACATATGAGCCCGGGAGTACCTTGACATCCCCCATCGAGCTGCTTCGGACGGCGTGAATGCATCGTATCTGCCAGACGTTGCATGAGCTCATGGATCAGCCTCCGTATGCGGAAGACAGTCGATTCTCTGTACTCATGCGCCGCAGAGCATTCCTGGAACTGCGTGCCGTGACTTCGGATCAACTGTGTGCGTTCAAGTTGTACATTAGTAACCTGTAGGGACGGACATGCGTCAGTTTGTGTCATAACATGTATATTTAGTTGAATGTACTAGCCTCTAGTGTCACGATCGCGAGCCCACATATGTAGTGAATATGCGCCAGGTTTGTCGGAAGAAGTCTTGGTGGGAACCGTGTCGTCCGTGTGCAGCATGTGAATTCAGTACTTCTTGCAGCCCCAGGAGATTTGAAATCGGTTGCAGTCATTTCGCAGCAGGGGTTGTCACCTCACTTGCTCATTGACGCAGTGCGAGCGCTTTCCTAGAGTCATGCAGGATCATAGCCTGAATGACCTATCGATGTACGCGCCGTCCAGCAGACAAGGGTCCCGAATTACAACACAGGCCTTGTCAGGTAAGCAACATGTTGGCCAAACGCTAACCCCTTCAAGTTCAAGTTGGTGTAAGGTAAAACCGATACCTATCAGTAGCATACAGGTAGGCTTTTGGGCCAATCGGGCTTGTTCTTCTGACCTTAGACCATGTTGCAATGGCGGACCCGTAGGAAGGTTGTCGGCAATATGTCGGTCAAGTCCTGCTACCAAGAAATACTTGGATCTCAAGTCGACAGTCGATGAAGGTCGTGAGCAACTTGACGATGTCGCTGTTATAGAGCTGGACTATCTCTCGATGAATCGTTATCGATATACTGGCAACGCTCCTCGAAGGGACTGTCCACCTTGCTGTCTCCGCCCATGTCGTACCGCATTCTGGTCGGATCCTACGCGAATGAGATTTACACGGTCTCTTTTGACCCCGATACCTCGAGCATCTCGCTCGTTTCGTCAATAACAGTCGGGTATCACCCATCATGGATCACCCCTCATCCGACCGATAAATCGCTTGTGTTTGCCGGGCTCGAGCAAGCTGAGGGGAAAATCGTAGTCGTGCGGTATGACGAAGGAGGCAAGGGCAGTCTGGTAGGCGAAGTCTCTAGTGGTGGCGCGGACCCGTGCACCTTGCTCGCAGCAGGCACTGAGCTGCTCATAGGGAATGTGAGTCCACAGCTGTGCTTTGCAGCGCTCTGCTCGTCTCAACGCCTGCGCTCTAGTACTCCTCCGGGACATTCACGACCATCCCTCTGATACCCGAGCCGCCGCACCTGCAGGTGTCCCAGAGCTCGACGCTCAGATTCACGGGCACAGGCCCGAACAAGGAGCGCCAGGAAGCGTCGCACCTGCACCAGGTCTTCCTGCACCCCACCCGCGCAGAGCTACTGATCCCCGATCTCGGTGCGGATGTGACGCGTCGCTTCGTCAAGGATGCTAGCGGCGTGTGGGTTCCAAGCGGTGTTGTTGCCTACAAGGCGGGAGGAGGACCGCGGCACGTTGTGGTATTGAGTACGTCCCCGCTGTCCCACGTCCATTCCGATCGTTCTCAGGTGCACGCCCAGATGATATTCTCTATACTGTCCTCGAGCTCACGAACGAGGTCACTGCACATCGGCTGCCACCCGCTCCGGAAGAGCCTACGCTCCTCGCGTGTGTGCACACACTGCGTACGGCCGCCCCGCGTGAGGCGTGGCCGGACATGTTCGCAGCGGAGATCTTGGTTGCGACGTCGCCCACGCCGTACCTGTACGTATCGAATCGCGACGACCCGTCGTCTGAGGGAGACACGATCGCCGTCTTCTCGCTCGCGGACCCTGCGAAGCCTGAGCTGGTGAATGAGGTGCGTTCCGGGCTGCGGCATCTGCGCGGGATGTGGTTCGGCGGTGAGGACGCGCGGTGGCTGATTGCCGGCGGAGTGCTTGGGGGCGGGGTGAAAGTGTTCGAGAGAGTCGATGGAGGGAAGGACTTGAAGCAGGTGGCTTCGCTAGCGCTGGAGGCGCCAACAGGATTCTTGTGGTTGTGAGTTGCCACTACACGATGTAGAAGTGTCGAGATCGTCGCGTGTTGGTCGCCGTCGGGCCTGCCATTGCCTGGTCATGTTCGCGCTGAGCAAGTACCCGCGCGAGGCCTGTCGCGCCGGTCCATAGTGTCGCTGAACCCCACCCTAGAAAAATGAATGATGGTATGTATGCCTGACCAAGTCAGAATCACCTAAGCTGGACAGAGACCCTGAGGTCAGGTATCCTACAAGGTCTATACGATATTAGTAGAGCGTGAGACTGCTGCACCGCCGCCGGCGTCTTGTAGGATACACATAGTACCACTTGAATTGTCACATCGCATCCTGCAGGTGCGCCTTGGACCTTGGACCGTCGGCACTGATATCTAGTTCGGATCGCAGTTCACTTGATCCATGGAGAACACGCGAGACATGCCAAGTACAAAGCGGAACCAGCATCAGCCGGGTCAGTCTTCGCACCTGTATCGCGCCTCATACTATTCAAGCCATAGGTTTCACCCACACGTTTTCATTCGGCCACCCTGAGGCCATGTCTAGGTCATCCATCAGGCGAAAATACCGTAAGTGTTGGTCTAGCAAGCACGACCTTGACTCAGGTCTTATGAGTTTTCACCTCAAAGGTTCAGGCGGTATTGGCTATGTTGTTTCTCTATTGTACAGATCGTCATCAATACATCTTACACCGCACCATACCGCATTCACATCTCCGCTGTTGCCCATGTCAGCCATGTATGCACCACTGTGCGTCTTTATGAACCGTCCACACCGACTCTGCACTAGACCGCTCACTTGCCGCCGCCACGGCACGTCTTGACGTGACGCCAAAGGGAGTCGCTTCGAGACATAACGCGTCCACAGCGGTCGCACTTCCGCGCGGTGGACTTCAAATGGAGGGCAGCGACGTGTTTGCCGATGTTCCTGCTGATGACCTGCTTGCCGCACAGAGTGCCATCCTTCATGACCCAGCAGCAATGGGTCATAGTGCCCGCAGGGGGTGTGTTTAGGTGGTACCGTCGGAGGTGCTCCATGACGCGTCCGGGCGAGAGCGCCGAGATGGTGCGGTCACAGAGTCCCTGCCAGCGGCATGCCCTGCCTTGGGTGATGCTGGTAGGGTGTATAGGCAAAGGGAAACCATGGTTCGAGTGGAAAATGACGGGCCGTCAATAGAGGGCAGAGTGCCGGGGGTTGCATGGAAGCTGTCAGCAAAAGTATAGATGATATCGACGCCACTGCTGTTGAGGAGTTAGATCACAGAGGGACTGGGTGAGAATCATATGCAGATGACACACGATAGCGATGGCGCAAGCTGAAGATAGGTCATCATGATGTCGTCGATGTATTGATACATCGGCTCCAAACTGGATTGAAAGAGAATTGAGATTCATGAAGCAGCACGGTCATCGCCTACGTACCCCAAGCTGAAGCCGTCTGCTGGCCATGCTATCGGTGCCCAGAAGTCCACGGAAACATTACTGCCCGGCACGGGATCCTCGTCGCGGCCCAGGGTGTGGTCCTCGTCATCATTTTCAAAGTAGCAGGTGGTGAATGGGGGCTTGATGATTGGGGAAGTGGATGGTTTCTTGCTCGCCCACTGTAGACATTATATATAGGGAAGTATGGTAGAGGTGAACTTGGGGGACACAGTATTCATGCGCGCGGTGAGCCGAATCAGAATGTTTGAATGCTGGGCCCACATCACTAACTACATTGTCAGCTTGAAGCCAATTGGTGTGTGACGGCCAGGGCGACGCACCAACGAAGATCTCAGGGACTGGCCACTTCCGTCTTGACATTCCATTTGATCCAATAAACTCACCTACTCGTGGCGCTCGCAGCGCCTCAGATCTCAAAGCCAGCATCCGGCTACGTGAGACAGCCGGGGCGGGTTGAAGAGATCGTCTACTCTGTTCTCAGGAGACTGGACCATGCTGTGAGAGACGAGTAAGGACACCACACCTGTCAGAGTCCAGGGAAGACAAACCATGAAGCCAGTGTGCTGAGGCCCTCAGCAAAACGTCGGCGCTCTGATCCCTGTCTGAATCATCTGAATCAGATCATTCAGACGACTCAGGCACTCAGACAGCCGTCTGAATTAAGGAGGTTCATTTCTGAGCCAGACCCGCCAGTCTGCATCAGAGTGCTATCAGACGCACTCAGACAGGCACCAGACGACATTCAGGCCTCTTCCAGCTATCACAGACAATAGGTATATAATCTGTAATACTAGATACAGATTCCAGAATATATGCGCAATGGAACATGACTAGGGGACAAACAACTGAATCCCTTCAAGGGAGGTAACATGAGAGCTCGAACCCAAATGTGTATGCTGTGAATGAGTGATGAAATATCCGAGACAAAACGAACAGGGTGGGCGCACAGCGGCCTGGAGAACGATCACATCGGACGGGGTATATAGCAGCTGTAGACAAGGGTTCGGCCTTGCAAAAAGCCATATATGATTAATATTGGGAAACCGGATAGCTATTGGAGACTTACAGCTGCACATTTGACCTGGCCTCAGGTGCTGGAGTGACAATCATAGTGTAGGGTAAATAATTCATCGGTGTGTAAATTACCGTTTTTTACAGACCCAGGTTTTGGGACCCCATTTTTTACATGGTAAAAAATGTAAATTACAGTAAATCACGGGACTATTTGCGCTTCGGCACGTGACACCCTCCGGTGTGTAAAAAACAGTAAAAAAATGGTAGAAAAATGTAAAGATATGTTAAAAAAAGCTCCAGGGAGCATTCATATCACATGCAAGGGCAGAAAGAGTATCTAGCATATGCTACAGACTACCTACACATCCTAATTGAACTCCCATAACACCTTGCCAAGTTGCCGTCTTCTGCCTCATTTACATTTACTAGCTCCTCCTAAATATCCATGCAGCCGCTGTGGCTTCAAGTTCCCAGCCCTAGATGATGGGGGCAATTGTAATGGGCAAGATGAAGAGCGTGAGCCGTTATGATGAAAGAGGACCGAGAGGTTTGCAAACAACAGGGGCAGAGGCCCGAATACTGGTGTTGGCTCGACAAAGAGATACAAGAGGTGTTCAAACCATTCTAAGAGATTCTAAGTACCTACGGCTAGATCTGAGACAGCACGGCTAAGTCTGAAAAGGTAAGTCAGAACTTGTACTACGTTCGAGCAGAGTCGGTTGATATCTACAGAGACCGTGTATAAGTATGTAGACTACAAAGATACAAAGAGTAGCGCACTGAAGCAGTGTTGACAAAATAATAGCCCGGGGTGCAAGGCATTGGCCCAATTGGCGGCTGAACGTGGGTACCCAGCACGTGACACACCCTTATTTACATTATTTACACCTCTATTCAGACAGCCCTGTAAAAAAGTGTAAATTACTTGTAAATTACCTGTAAAAAAGTACGGTGTAATTTACACTGATTTATTTGCCTTACACTAGACAATCAGTGATGCTAGTGTCTGGGCCGTTGATCACATGATCTACATTGGCCATGTTCACCTTGCACATGAAGCCATAGATCTGTTCGTGTGATGCGATGTGAGCACACAATAATATTCAGATGATATCTAATGTGGCTCACATTGAGTTGCCGAGAGAAGCTCGTGAAGCACAATTGGCAGTACACATTGTAGAGAACATGCAGCAGGAGCTGCACTGGCCGCTGGATGATTATGTGCTCGCTGGCTGGGTCCCACCAAACCATATGGTGATTCTCGGGATACTTGAGCCTGCAAGATGCATCAATTGTGCATCTGGGGTTACACTTCAATGCAGGCAGAAACTCACATGTAGAGCTTCATGAGAAATGACACCTGAAATATATTAGAACAAATTGTGTCAATAAACCACAAGCCTAGCAGCAATGTGGAATAGGTGCATTGCCCAGGATAAGGGTGTGATGGAAACAGAACAGGTGCGCGACCAGCACAGCTGGTCTGCGGATGATGTCCTCAAGTTCCTGAGCCGATGGTCTCTACCTTTGGGAGGTCTAAGATCTTGGCCGAGGCCCTCACCGACTGTGAGTGCGGCCAGCCGCATTCGCAGGTGAATGCCCGTCTCTTAGCTCATACTGTTGAGCAAGTGTTTCGGTGGCAGCAGTTCCACTGGACACACCGTAAGGCACCGGCACTCACATCATCCCTGAGCAAGGACTTCACAGATTTCACTGAGTGGTGCGACGTGGAAACACACGCGGAGAATCTACTCATCTTATGGAAGGAGCGCGCTCTGGCTCTTGTTGCCCCACTGTCCACTGCCCACCCTCGGGACACCACTCGTACGGCGTGATGCCTGAAGTTCGGAGGGAGCGCCGCCTGCCCGCCCCCCGTTCTCGTCATTTGCCTCATTGTTGGACCACCAACATGGTGTTTGCTGCGCGAGGATGGCCCCCTGCACCATTGGTGAGGGGCTCTTGGTCAGCCTGAAACCTGTAGGGCGATGACACCGTGTGATTGGCACTTCACCGTGCAGGTTAGAACACAGGCGTGGAGCCCACTATTAGGAGCCGCTGATGGCTCAATCTCACTCTGCATGTACCTACACTGTATGGAGTCTAAACCCAAGGAATTGAATATATAAAAAACAGAACAGGTGCACTACTCACAGTGCTCTACCACCAATCCTACATCACCCACTTTGCATATCTTCGCAATCAATTGCTCATTGTCCTTGCTGCGCACTTTGCCATTCACCCCTACTCTCGGCTCTCACTTCGGCCTTTGGTGTATCTTGCGTTTCCTCATGAAGGGACAAGATGAGGAGAATGGGCAAGAGGAGTAGGGCATATTGGTAGGCATCATGAGGTTGGAGAGGGTCGGCATGACAGGTGAGCGAATGCCCCTGAAGCAGGGCCAAGTTCGCCAGCTGCTTGCAGTCCTCCAGCATGCTAGATCAGTACGAGGAGATGCAAGAAGGTGGTCAGTCCCTTGTTCATGCCCACAACACTATGTGAACAATGGAGTGTCCGAGCCTGGAGAGTCGGAATTGAGTAGGACGGAGAGGTCTGTTGCATGTCAGCCCAGGGGGTGGACACATCACTCAGAGTGAAATTAGACTGCGTGGATACGATGAGTATGACAGAGATGCTGCCAGAATCACTTGCCATACATATTGGACAACTGAAGCACATTCTTTCATAACCATCTGGTGTAGTAGTAAGTAGTGCTTATGTTGAATGTTTGCGGAAGTGAGGGTTCAAATCCTCCTAATGTGATTATATTTTGCAGTGCATGAAACTTGTTTCCATGATTCTGTCTGAGCTGTCTGAGTGCTCTGAACCATCTGGATGGTCTCTGGGTAGAAACATGGCCAGGTGAATCAGGGATTTCAGATTGATCCAGCCGGCCCAGGCAATATCAGGTACAATTCAAAACTTGACAATTTGCTGATGCTTGAGTGGTCTGCCAACTGCCCGGGTATGCACTGTATGGGTAGTGCACTGCCCTTGTGATGATCTGACAGATATGATCGGTGTACAAGACCCAAATTGATGTGCACAGTGAGCCAAATCAGAATGTTCGAATGCTGGGCCTACATCATGCTACTATGTCATGTAGAATTTGTAGGACATCTGAGCCCAGCACCTCTTTTAGATGTAAGTTTGTGTCCTCCAGGTTCCCCTCTGCCATACTTCCCTGTATATAATGTCTATAATGGGCAAGCAAAACCCATCCACTTTCCCCGTCATCAGGCTTCCGTTCACCAGTACCTATCACCTGCTACTTTGAATATGATGACAAGGTCCCACACCCCGGGCCGCCACGAGGACCCCATCTTGGACAGTAATGTTTCCATGGACTTATGGGCACCAGCGGCATGGCCAACAGACGGCTTGGGCTTGGGGTATGTAGGCGATAACCATGCTGCTTTACGGGTCTCAATTATCGTCGATTCTAGCTTGGAGCCAACAGATCAATATATCGACGACATCATGTTGACCGATCATCAGCTTATGCCACCACTATTGTGTGTTGTCTTCATATTATTCTCACCTAGTCTCTCTGTGGTCTAACTACTCAACAGCAGTAGCGTCGATAGTGTCTATGCTTCTGCTCACAGCTTTCATGCAGCCCTCGGTGCTCTGCCCTCTATTGACAGACCATCATTTCCCACCTCGGACCACAATCTCCCTTTGCCCATACACCCTATTATGACCAGCGTCACCCAAGTCAGAACATGCCACTGGCAGGGATTCTGCGACCACACCATCTCGGCGCTATCGCCTGGCCATGTGATGCAGCACCTCCAACAGTACAACCTGAACGTGGAGGCTAACCCACCCCCGGTGGGCATAATAACCCTTTGCTGCTGGGTCATGCAGGACGGCACTCTGTGCGGCAGACAGGTCACCAACAGGAACCTCGGCAAGCATGTTGCCGCCGTCCATTTGAAGTCCACCGCACGGAAGTGTGACTGCTGTGGCCACATTGTGTCTCGGAGTGACACACTTTGGCATCACATGAAGAAGTGCCATGGCAGCAGCAACTGAGCTGTCTAGCACAGAGTCAGCATGGACGGGTCATAATTATGCATAGTGGTTTATAACACGGCTGACATGGGCAAGAGCAGAGGTGGGAGTACGGCGTGGCACAGTGTAAGGGGGTGTTGATGCTCCACAGAATTTCCCTGGCAATATTTACTTAACCTGATTTGCAACACTGATTTAGGTGCCCGGTGTCGGCTTTTTGAATGTTTTGTGTATTTGTAGAATGTTTCATGAGGTGCTTTCTGTGTCATGTTGTCGGGTTACTACAAGAATGAGACAGTGACTGAGGACATACCAATAATATTGCTAAGCATGCGCACAATTACTATATTTGTCATTGTAAGTGCCCTCAAGGACTGGCTGACTTCAGCACATGGAGGCTTGCTCTAGTAGATGCGCAGTTGATATGATGAAGTTCGTCAGTATATTGATTTGTTGGTAGTTTTCCTGTAGTACTTTGTGTATAATATACAGAATATGTATGCATAGGATGTGAATGTAAATAGCTTGTGCATCAGATTAAGTCTGGCGCACACGCACATTTGAAGGCATCACCATTAAGTGAAGAAGTGCATACAGGTACAAGGTGTATACATGCGTGCTCCAACGTAGGACTAGTAAAAGTTAAATGACTATTGAATGCATTTACTCTCCTCAGAATAATGATTCAAACTGTGCCGTGAAGTTTGAAGGTACGCAGACACATCATAAAACTAATAATGACACCAAAGCTCAAGTAGAAGGGTGTACTGGCAATCAATTCAGAAGACAAACAACTATATTGGTAGTACAATACATTCAGCCAAATGTACGTATGACAACCTCACTTCTTTGCACAAGAGCACTCAACCTGTACTCCTGTAGCTTGTTTCCATTTATCCTTTTTGTCTGAACGAGTCACATGAGCTGCATTTGTCCCAGTTGTGCGCATTTCCTTTGACATCTGTGCTTGAAATGTGGTGATGGACTGACATGAGCCAGCTGGAGGTGGTGTCTGGTCGCAAGGTCGTGGTGGTCTGCAAGCACAAGTTGGCCATACATATGTAGCTACAGGAGTCGTACCTGCAGCTGTAAGCTGAGCCTGCGGGCAATTGCTAGCTGTATCTTGTGAGGTCAAAGCTGTGGACCTCATGCCCAAGGCTTGTACATGCGGCTTTCTACCTTTCTTTGGGTTCATGCATACTGGGTCAGGTGAGTCTGGTATTGTTTGAGTATGGTTGCCCTCTGAGGACACTACTGCTTGAAAATACTAGCAGTGAGTATCGATGGCAAACAAATAGGCAAGTGGACATACCTGTAGTGCTCAGCATGGGAGTATCCGATGTATGTGTGGCTTGGTCAGTTGCGTCATTGGTGGACGACAGCACTATGTCTGATGCTGAGTTCGACAAGCAAGTGTTAAGGAATGACGGTATGGTTTCACCTCCAACTGGCAGAGGGAAATCAATGTTCTGATGTACATATACAGACTGATCCAGTGTCAAGACTTGCCAGGACTAGGGGATGGTTGGTGAAGAGCTGATTGTGGATGCTGCCCCAGAACAAGGTATTGGGGAAGTCACAAAGGGACTTGGTGCAAGGGAAGGCCAGGGAGAAAGAGCGGTGCAGTCAGCAGGCAACGAGTAGTCTGATGTGGACGATTGGCCGGGAGCAGATGATTGACCAGGAGCAGATGACTGAGCTTGATCATCTGATTGATCTGTTCCAGAAGTGGATGGACCAGTGCTAGTGGACATTGTATCATGCGCAATGGCAAAGGATGGTGCCTGTGGCATGGACAAGTTACCAGGAGTAGAAGAAATGGTGTAAGATGGGAGTGCGTAAGGGTTAAGATTGGACACCCAACTCAGGTCTAGACTATGTGTTTCCACTTCAACTGGCAGCGGTGATGCGGTGGTAACACCAGTGGGAGAAACGGTGTTGTCCAGATCAGGATCGAAGGTTTGACTTATGGAAGGAGACATATGACCAGAACACCCCTCATCCATTGCTTGAGGGTGCTCTTGCACATCAAATGCATCTTCATAATTGATTGCATATAATGTGCGTCTCCATGAAGCTGGGGAATATACATCAATATGTTATGAACGACAGCCCAAATGCATTTACTCATGGAAAGCGACTTGTAGAAACTCAACGTAGGGCTTCATGACTCTCGTAACAAAGTTGGGCATAGTGTTCCCGAAATTGTGACCCATCTCAGTCTTGCCATGATGGTAGCTGCCAGGATCACAAGGTGAGCTATGGTATTAATACGATGCATACAATGTACATACCAGATTGTATGGATCTCACCACCTTCCTCGGGAGAAGGGCCACCGGCAATAACAGTAAAATACCAACTGGTTTTCTCTGACAGACCCACTAGAACATGCTTCAATACCGGTGCAAGAAGATCTATAAGTCTATGAGAACATATTAGTATACAAATGGAGTATAGGAACTCAGAAGACATACTGTTGGTGCTCACTTGGAGACAACTGTGCATCAGATTGAGTCTTGTTTGTGGGTTTGGCGTCGGCACTGTCCTCTTCTTTTGCAGCCTGAATATACTCATTGATTTCCTTCTTTACCTTAGGTGATTCCCCGTCATACATCTCCAAAGTGCAGTGCTTTACAACCTTGAGGCACTGACCCAGAGTTAAGGTATGATCCGCAATTTCTTGCTTCACAAGGGGCTAAACTTTATTGTTGTAATACTTGCGTGAATAAACCTCAATTGCCTGCAAGTGGTGATGACACTTGGTCTTCACAGAACCTATAACATTGAAGAGGTCTGTAATTGTCTTCAACACCTTGCTACAATTGGACGTCTTGCCGTGATGGTTGCGAAACCAATTTTGCAGTCTCTATCATGGGTGGAGTGAGTGACAACCGCGAGTATGCAACAGATCACGTACAGCATGACAGGCGTTCATGGCATTCCCAAGGATGCTTCTCTCCTCTGGTGTCAGATCATCCACGAGCCTGTTGCCGAACAATAGTGTGCGCTCTGGCCACTTAGTGAACCAATCAAAGTAGAGCGACTACCAGAATGGGGGCTGTTGCCTTGCCTTCTGAGCTTTGAGCCAGCCAGAGTAATGAGATTCTAAGAACACAGTTTGTTCTGTAGTTGCCCAAGGAGGTGGTGCCATGAAGAGACTAGTTGCAGGAGAGTCTGTCACCCCTCTCTCTCTGGAGTACTGATATATCAGTCCCTTGTGCGCTGATAGGTGCCAAGCCCCTCTGGGCCCCGATACACCTCTTTTCGGCAGTCGCATCCTGCCCGGCACTTCGACTCAGTCACCCAACACTTCGATTTCGCCTTCGACGCTCTTCGACATCTTCGACGGTGCGCGACGCTTGCTCAAAGCTCGGCACGGTCGTCCCGATGCCTCGCGCATAGATCTCGGAACATCTCCCGCATTTGGCGGACAATAGGGCCACTCGACGCCGTTCGGCCAAGCGCGTGCATCGCACCATGCCACACCGACGTAGCCGGTCTTTCCCGATTAGGTATTGAACCTCGCGGCATGCCTTCAACGACGGATACCGGTCCGAAGTGTCCATATGTTTCTCTTCATCTCCGCGTTTGGCATGACGTCACTCTACCGATGGACTTGATACGTGCCACTCGGTGAGGCAGATTCGTGCGGGACAATGCAAAGCCCCTTGTACTAGTGTGCCACTCTCGATAGTCGTAGCGTCCTATGCGTAGTATAAAATCTGTCATACTTCTCTCCAAAAATACAAGATCCGGTTCCCCCCTCGAGTTCAGAGCTCATAAGTCGAGTTCGCCCCGCGTCTAAGCCTTCAACTGCGTCACTTCGTCCCTCGCTGCGTAACCTCAAAACCTCGTCCACTGCGTTTACTCGTCGATACCGTCTCGACGAACCCTTCGACTTCGACTATTGTCGAAGAAACTGCGAACCGCGTCCTAGCTAAGTCCACCCCATCGAATCGTGTCCCTTCCTTCTACGATACATCGAAGAGCTCTGCCAAGCTTCGATCGTCTCCGCTAACCACCCACAGCCTCCGAGTAGCTTCGACGACGTGTCGAAGCCACCTCGTACCTTCCCTATTGTTCATAACCTTTTCCAAAGGCGTTTCTCGTGCTCACTCGAACCGCGGGACACCTTGCTGCTAACTCCCCTCTCACTAAGACTATAATCCGTCTCTCTAGTCCCTTTAGGTCGCACCCAGGTTAGGGGTTAGGGTTTCGTAGGTCGTATCATTTCTGGAGCCCACCACGAGGGGATCTCAGGCAAGAATTCGCCGCTTTCGGGTTTCCGAAAACGTCTCCAGTACTCACCCGCTCGCAAGTGCGTGAGGCTGCTAGTCGCAGCGCCGCCGAAAACCTCGACAGCTCCTCTCGAACGCACTTGACTCCCTCTCCAACAATTCCCGGTAACTTCGACCGCGACGAAGAAGACGAGATAGACCAAGAACTCCAGGACGACTTCGACGAAGAACCGATCCCTTCGACCGCCGAAGAACGCACTTCGTCCCCCGAGCTTCTAGGCCTCACTACTTCCGACTACGACATTTCGACTCCTGATCTTGTTGAACGATCCAGTTCTTCGCCCGAACCCGAGGATCCCATCCCATCTACTTCGAATCTCGTACTTCCGACTCCGTCTTCTTTTCGCGCCCACGCTCAGCCGCCCATCGCATCCTCTTCGCGACTTTCAGTCATACCTTCATCCGACCTGGCGCCTCCGCCACCATTGGCACCTTCGAACGCAGCTTCGAACTCCAACCCCGCACCACCCGCACCTACGAATCCTTCAACTACTACCGCGTCCTCTTCGACCCCAGCTCCTACTAACACTACGAACATGAGTCAGAACGCGAACACACCATTGATGCCCCTGCGCGGTCATTCAACGGCACCGAGCTTCGACCCGTCAGAAGTCCGTTCGCTTCGGCGTTACTTCCAGGACCTCGAAGCATTGTTCACCCGGTGTCAGATTACCGACGAAGCAGCCAAGAAACAGTGGGCCGTGCGGTACCCTTCGATCGACGTCGCCGACTTATGGGAAACCATCGAGTTCTTCATCGACGTAGCCAAGAGCTACAACGACTGGAAAGCCGACGTACGAGCACTCTATCCTGGTGCCGATGATACAAGAAAGTGGTCGCTGGCGGACATGGACCAGCTCATCGGAGAACGCGCTCGTATCGGGATTCACAATGCGGCAGATCTAGGCTGCTATTACCGCGACTTCATGGCCATTACAAAACATCTCATCGCACAGAACCGACTCTCCACTATCGAACAAAGTTGCGCATTTCTTCGAGGATTCCAGCCAGCGTTGCTCACACGGCTCGAGACCCGACTGCATCTCAAGCACCCCGATCACTATGCCGACGACCCATACACAATGGCAGAAATTCACGCTGCAGCTACGTTTATTTTACACGGTACATCGAGCACACCTACGACAGCGGCTAACCAAACTATCGCTTCGACATCGAACACTTCGACAACGGTGCCCCCCGGGATGATCAAGACCGAAGACATCTCGATGATCATCGAAAGCCTGTCGAGGACGATCGCGACGCTTATTCAGCCGACGACGCACGCTACGCACAACCACGCCCCCGCACCGAGACAACAAGCTGCCGTCCACGTCCACGAGAACAGCGGAGCTGAACAGACGTGCCATTACTGCGGCAATCGTGGCTGCAGGGTAGGCACCTGCGAGTTCGCAGAGATCGACATCCGGGACGGCAAGTGCAAGCGTAACACCGAAGGAAAGATCGTCCTTCCGAACGGAAGTTTCTGCCCCCGCACTATCCCTGGTCTCACAATACGAGATCGAATTTACGAATGGCATAGACGAAATCCCGCAGCACCCGCCGCTCCGACGATGCTCTTCGAGATCGACGATCGCTCGACTGTGCAAACATTCACGCTCAACACCAGCGGCAGGATTGAGGCACTC